TGTCCCGCTTACTTCCAAAAATTTAACTTGATGAACCGATTCGCGGTCTGAGGAGCAGATTAACATATTTTAAGTGCTTTTGTTATTTAGCATATAATTAAAAACGAAATTAAACGTATTTTATGTTATCTTGGTAACTCATTCTAGTAAATAGCATTTACCCATTATGTCTAACGGGTCAATCTCAATTGATATTCAACGCTTACTTTTATTTAATAACAGTGACAATGGCCATTTTGATATTGACTTTCGCTTGAAGGATTATCAAAGGGTAGGTGTATTAAAACTTAAATTCTGAACACGAATATACGTTGGAGCTACAATGTAATGTATGTCAAATAGGCCTATTACCGGTTTGGTCTTCTAAATTAATTTAGATAATCATTTTAACCCAGCATCAACAACGAACTTTAGAGTACAATAAGCTCTGCGGTTTTCTTTATTTTTAAAATAAATCCAAACGTTTCCCTTTACAGCGATAACACACCATATACGATATTTATATAAATACACAGGCTAACTTAATTTGTTCAGTATACAGGTCACATTTTCTCGTTAGTATAGATAAAAAAAAAGAGTTAAATATCGTAAATGTGAAGTGTTATATGGTCGTTATTATTGCAGTAACACGAGTCCCCTGAATTAACATATTCAGAAGTTCGAAGGGTTCCTAAACGATATTTATCTACACAGGTCATGCATTTGGAGGATTTAATTTGCAATGCAATGATATATAGCTGAGGAAGCTGGCCAGCATAAACAGGAATTTCTTCCTAAAATCGTGGACCTTTTTAAAGGTGGATTGCAGCGGAGGCGCCCGTCTGCGAAGGTACAGGAAACAATCAAACAAACAGAGGCGCTTCTATTTTCAAGCCGGTCTCTGGGACTCGTACAGATTATGAGTAAAGACACCACTAATGACACTACAACGTAAAACCCACCAGCTCCGAGTGCCATGCTGAAAATGGCTGCTTGACTCACAGAGCGGCGGCTTTTCAAAGTTTTTCGAATTAGATAAATATTTTAGACAGAAACACATGTAAAAGTTGTTCTATATGACTTTCTGGCCATATATTAACTTTTATTTGAAAGTATTTGTCTGCAAAGGCCAAATCGTGAAATATACTTTTAAAAGTGTATATATATATATATATAATCTTCTGAAGCCGAACCAACCAATATCATAAGCGTGAGAGTGTTTTCTGACGCTGCGGTGAAGTGGCCGTATTTGACTCGTAAATACAGGCCTCGCGTTTGAATTCAAGTTCAAGTCATTCACTTGATTTCCAGATATTTTCCAGCGGATAATCTAGAAACAAAACACAAAAAACAACCAGAGCTACCACTGTCTCAGCTAACTCCATGAAAGACGCTTTCCCCTGACATTCGTTAAGATGTTTTAGACATCAAACGAATCGTACAGCCATAACAGCTCAATATTCTCCTCCCATTAATGTTAATGCACTAATAAAATTGTATCATAAACCGTTGAAACTACAACTTAAATCACCATTAGGGCTACATATTAAATGGGCAATATTGGGAATGGAAAATGTTGTAAATTCTTAATCGTCTCCAAGCTCCGCATCTGCGTATCATTCCGATAAAATGATGCATTGCGTGAGACTAAGGGCAGGGAAGGCGCCAAAAACTGTTTTAAACCGTAGGAATAAAACCTTAGCACGATTTCCTTTATCAAAACGCTTAAACATCTTTATTTTGCCGTTTTACATTTCGGAAACGTGATGTCATGGACTTTTGTAGAATTGTTAGTGGTTTTCTGAGTATGGTAATTAAAAGAGGATGATAACGCTGAGCGTGTGCCGCTGCAGACTGCACACCTTAGCGCTATGCCTATACGAGAAACATTTTATTAAACGAGAAAACAATTTTGTTCCTTCCTTTTCCTTTGTTTTCATAGTAGATGTTTGATTTTATAATATACTATAGAAATTAAATTAGTTTTTACCCATTTTAAAAGAGGTACTATAATAATGATGATAATAATAATAATAACAATAATAATAACAAAGCAATAATGATGATAATAATAATAATAATATTAAATCAGACTTTTTAACATCAAGTTCATTAATTGACCACTTATTAAACTTACAGGCTTACTTTTCAAATGTTTCTTACGTAACAAACGAAAAGTACTTATACTAAAATTACGCTACCGCTAATACATGTCATTTTGCCGCTAATATGGGCCTAGTTTAATTTTGACTCTCTTTGCGCAAATAATTTGCGGAAGCTGTGTCAGAGTTGGTCTTCCTCATCAGGCAGAAAATAACCCGGATACATGAATGCTAACGCGTTCTTAAATGGATGCCCAAATTCAGTAAATTTAAGAAATTTATATAAACTTCATTACCCTGTAAATAAGTTCTAACAGTCCTAAAGTTCTCAAATATGTTGTAAATATGTTTCTCTCCAATTTTAAACAACGTTTAATGATAGATCTACTTTGGCTCTACTTTGAATGAGATGAATACAATGTATTGTATATTATTAAAGTGTCTATAATTGCTTAAGGTTAAAGTCTAAAATTATTGCATTATTGCACTCATGATAAGATTCTGTAATTGTTTTGTAAAGTAAAAAATATATATATTAAACTGATAACAGCAACAACTCACTGCGACCCTCGACTAGATGACTTATGGCTATGGAAACATCTGGATGTTTTGAAATCACTGACATTAGAACCCGATCGACTATTATTATTATTATTATTATTATTATTATTATTATTACTACTACTACTACTACTACTACTAGGCTAATGAAAAGTAGTGTCGCTATTGCTATTTCCGTTATTTTTTTTCAGGCAGGAGGTATCGTGTCGTTGTTAAGTTTAAAATTCTGTTTGACATATTATTTTTTTAATATTTGTTTTATGATATTCTAGAATTTTACCAATAATTGGAAAAATTAACGCAGAAACCCTGCAAGCGTGTTGGATGCCGCCGATCGGGCGCATTCCCGTACTGATTGCAGTCCGACTAAAAGCGATTTGCTGTCAGAAACGTGAGGACGTTTTGCTTGACATGTACCCGACACCGATGGCACGGTTTGTTTTTGCGCAGAGCTGCAGGCCCTCGTGGGCGACAGCGTGGCGTCCCCTGCCATCAGGCCGCAGCGTTGACAAACAGCAGCGACGCTGACCACGAAGACGTGAACTCATCGATCACATGGAATCAGACTGGACCCCGGTGTCAAGCCGTCCTGGGAAAAATAATTTTACCTGTATAAACAACATCCACCCACGAGGGGAAACCCGCTAATAACTCTCCCTTTGCAGAGAGAGAACATCAAAGGGAAACCTATTTGGACAATTCTAATTGGGCCGGTTCAAATCAAGTATGATGGTTTGTTATCCATAAAACAGGCGGAAGTAGCTGACTGAAAATCGAAACTGAGGAATAAATAAAATAACCTGTGCAAAGTTCCACAAAAACACCGATAACCGTGATGCACAAACATTTTAATAAAATGAACATGGGCCTCTTCGATACCGGTAAAATAAGTCACTCTACATAGACTAGCCATTTATACTGGAAGTTATTTTCATTAGCATATGCAGAGTAAACATCAAACTAACTTTAACTAAACGAAACACTGCTGATTTGACGCGTTAAAACACCACACTGTAATATATATGTTATGTCGTAACCGCAGACTATTCTGAAAGAACTTCACTTTAAAAAGCATCTGAATTGCTTGTCTGTAAGCGTTCAGATGTCTAAGTATTCAGATCTCATCATAATTATAATGTTGAGTTGGTGTAGTCACACTATTTCTTTTGCCTGAAGTGTGACATCCCCCCCATGATTGATTTAATGTGCGTTTGGTGAAATACGGATTGTGTCTAATCTGAGCTTTCATGAAGATAAATCATTAAACTCGCCTGTGAGATACATGTTCGCTTATCATCAATCCTTTTGACATTTCGTCCTTTTAGAGACAACAGGAAGCTGGACGTGGCTGTTAAAACTGATGGATGTCAACTTGGACCGTCTTCAAACTGACGGCTCCTTGGCTCCTCTTTGACTAATCGGTCTAACAGACTCGCTTTCATCGCGCTCCCCGCTTTACCGCCGTAGTGGTTTAGAGGCTGTCACAATTAAGCGCTAAAGTTTGGCATGAGACAAAAAATAGTATGTTTACCGAGTTAATTGAAGGGTGTCGTGGTTAAATTGATGGAGTGAAACCGAGGATACGTATTTCACCAGAAAGACCATATCGAAGGGCTGTTTGGGGTCAACAGATCCCTCAGCTGCGCTTTCGGCATGCAGTTCAGTGATGTCAGGCATCCAGACAATAGCAGCAACCTACTGGGTGCTGAACACACAACCAACTGCTTGTGGCGGGTCGCAATCTCAGAACCTGCCAAGGCACAGCATAAACTGCTATTTTCTTAACATCTTAAATGAGCTGAAACATGCAACCACAGACAGTGATCTGAGGATGATTTCTAGTCACACAGGACAAGGATGCCTGATTTCTGATTGGAGGAATGAATAAGGAGGTGTGGCCTCCTGGTGCTACAGACCAGGCATTACTGAGCCTTGGCATCGAGGCCACAGAGAAAAGTGATTTTCCATCCCAGCTCGCAACGTTTCTGATTTTACGTGCCCTGGTGTTGTGGCTGTCAGTTCATTATTCCTGTCTACAGTAACATTTTTATCTGAAGTCATACAGCTGGACAGTTTATGGCTTTTAAGGTGATTAGCTGTGCATTTACTCAGTGAGACTAATTGTTGCTATCTATTAATGATGGTGGACGGTTTGCTGAGGGTCAGTTTAACCACGACACTTTGAAATGAACTTAAGTGCTTTACTTAACGAGAAGCCACACCAGGTTAGTCATGGATCTCCTGTTAATATCCGGTCGTCCAATCAGTCATTAAGGCCCGGAAGATGAATGCAGCGTTCACATCGTCCTCAGTGCAGATTCATGAAATGACAGCAGATTAATGAAACCCAGAGATGTGTCTCTTTCATGGGAGACTGGTTTTATCGCAATAAATTTTCATACAATCTAAAAAGCGTTTTATTCCAGTGTCAGAAATCAGAAAGCACCCCTCTAACTATTTGCTGTTCCATTAAAATGAAGTACATCAGACAGAAAGGGCTCACAATATAAAGTGATCCTGTTTATAACAGCAGATTTTAACATAAAATCAGATCAACCAATAGGCCGTGTTCCTGTAGTGCTGCCTGTCACCATGGCAACCTCTCTTCCTGGTTTGATAACATGGTATCCCCTTCCCCATATCCTATCCTTATAATCTTATTTTAATACATCAATAGTAAATGCAAATATAAAACAACGTTAGGAAGGATTAACATGCAGTTTAGCAAGTGCTAAAATATGGTAACCAATGTTGCAAAAGTGCAAAAAGAAAATTCATTGAGAAAACTAAATCTCTTGTTAAAATACTTCAAAATAAAATTATGTTCATAAATCTCTATACTTAAATATATACATAATGTGCAAACAAAATAGTCAGGGTTTAATTCATTGCAAAGGAAACTTCTCAAACAGGACACTTGCTTCTGATGTCAGTTTCTGTTCTATTGGCACTTTGATGTGCAACACGCCAGCGACAGTATAAGATCTCCACGGCAACGGAGCAAGATCTCCACGGCGATGGCTTGGACGGGTATGTCAGATGCGCGGCGTCGCAGGAACGCACGTGCTTACCTCTTCATTTGCGCCCCTCACCCCCACCCCAAGTTCCATGTAGAGACCGGCTAATCGCTAACCCGCGTTTCAAAATCGCGGTAAATTCAGCCTGAGGGCAGTGCCGGGACGGGTTGCCAGGTGAGGTGAGCAAGGACACGACAGCTGTCGAGAGGGGGCTGGCGTCCATACGCCGATGGGACGACCTTTAGGTCGGAGCACAGTAACAAAATGGGGGGGGGGGGAAGTACAAGATTTATAAGGGTAACAAGATGAAAGCAGACGAGGTTGGTGTGTGTCCTGTCTGGAACATTCTTCATTAGATGTCAGCGGTGAATAACGGTATTCTAGACTAATCTAAATCTTCATCGATTTAAACCACATTCTGTGATTCCTGAGCAATCTTGTTTTCTGAAGCACAATTAGCGGTGAAATCCCAGCATGCTAAGAGAGAGACCCTAAACATTAATTTTAACAAATATTAATGGATGAAAAGGACGAATTTAGTTAGTTAAGGATAAACCACTTGTTAATGATGACAGACACACATGTGTGAAGACGTAGGGAGTGTCCCCAAAACGCCTAAGTAATGTGCTTACATTTTTTTTTTTTGTCTGTTAATCCTGTCAAGGGAGAGCAAAAATGTTGCACAAAGTAGGTTTTGTAGTGTAAGTAATGTCTCGTAGGTGCAGAGCTCAGGAGGACAGAAGCACAGGTGGGCGGGTCGTGCCCCAAGTGACACACGGCGTCCTGCTCTCAGTGCACAAGAAAGAGAACAACATATGTATATTGCGTGAGCAGTGCCAGTGTTAGCGTTAACGCGTAGCTAGGCCGCCACGTGGCCGATGAGATAGATGTTGTCGTAGAGGTGTCCCACAAAGTCGTCACTGACGCTCTGGGCGGCGCGCCGCGTGTTGCGGATGAACTCGCGCTTGGACATCTTGTTCTTCACGTGCGGGCTGGACAGGTCGATGGACAGCAGGATCAGCGAGTAGCACAGGACGTAGACGGCGTCTGAGGGGCAGAGAGGCGGACGGTGGGGGGGTGGGGGCATCAGTCAAACCACAAGTTCCGGAGATCGACAACAGGAAGTCAATTATCAGCGACACATCTGCAAGTGTTGCACAAGAGAGTGCTTCACTTCTGAGTTATAGTTTGGCAGTTATGGTCATTCTTAAAAATGGTGCTTTATTTTGCATTTGTATAAGTATGACCGGTACACTAGAATGTGTTTTTTTTTCCCCCATATCTCCGCTCTCTGTTTTTTAAGACACACACACACACATGTAGGGTATACATATCCTTATGGAGACCGCTCATTCATTTCAATGGGAAAAATGCTAACGCTAACTATGACAACCTTAACCCCTACCCTGCCCTAACCATAACAATAATTAACCTAACAAAATACAAGAGTTTTTGCGTTTTTAGTTTTTTCATAGCAGTCAACGATTTTTTTTTATAATAGAGTTTTCCCTTATGGGGACCAGGAAACCGGTCCCCATATGTCCCCATAACGTGATACGTAGCCTGTAGCACTGTGGCACTGTGGCACTCCCCTGTGTTACGTGCTTGGGAAGACGCCATCTGTGTGCCACAGTACCAGCAGCCAAAACAGACACTCCTTAAAAATTTGCATCCCCACTTGGACGCAGTCAGACGCGCCACACTCACCGGGGCTGAGGCCCAGCTCCCGCATCAGTGCGGGGTTGCAGGCACAGAAACGGTGCGAGAACTTCGTGATGAGAGTCTCCAGGTACTCGCCGCGCTCTTCAGGGGCGTGGATGTGCCGGAAGAACTCGCGTAGCGCGTTGGGCAGGAACTGGTTGCTGAAATTGTGCAGGGTGACCAGCTCGTCCAGCACGTCCCTCCTGTGGGGGGGGGCAAGGGTCAGAACCGTGTCTGCCGTCAGACTGGCCAAAAGAGGGGCTGGTGTCAAGCCGCACTGTTACGTGTTAAGAAAGGATGTCAGTAAATGGGTGTCAGTAATTACAGATAAGGTGGGTGATGTGTGTGTGGGTCGGGACCCTATGATAGACCGGCATCCCATTCTGAGCATCCCCACCTGCAGTTTCTGTGCCACCCACAGAAACCCGACCCAAATAGGAGGTCCTAAAGAAAATGATGAGAAAGAAAGAAGGAAGGAAGGAGGGTGACGGCTCGCACCTCTCATCTAGGTAAATCCTCAACATCTTCCAGTTGAGTGTTCTCGTGTAGAAGACGAACTTGGCCACTTCTGCTGCGTGGTCGCACAGGATGCCTTTAGACAGGAAGTATTCCATCCCCTGGGGGTGGGGGAGCCGGGTTAGGCCACACCTGTGCTGCCAAAGCTGCCCAGCATCTACTCTCCACAAAAAACACCCTCCGCCGGTGTCCGGGGTGGGGGGGGGGGTAACCTCGCCAGAAGCGTCAAACGTGCATCAAACACGGCAGAGGGTCGGTGAGAGAGACGGCTACCTCCTGGGGGTTGGCGTTGAATGTGAGGCTTCCTTCATCCAGCTGCATGTAGAGCCTCCTGTAGGAGAAGCCTGGCGGAAGCCTCCTGTTGTATATGGAGCAGTGACCCCAAGTGGATTTACAGAGCCTGAAAAAAAAAGACAGCAGGGCATTATGGGATGAACATCACTGCTGCCCTAGGAAAGAAATCCAAAACAGAGACCTGCATCAGCGGCTCCCTGTGACAATCTCAGAATTACTAATATTATTCTCAGTGGAGTTTCTTAAAACTCTCATTTTGGGCCATTTATTTACACTAAAATGTGCTGAGGGCGTACGGATAAATGATTGGTTATCTCTTTCAATCAATCAGATTGTAGAGGAGGTGGTACCATCCAATCAGATGTCTTGGCCCTGCCTCCTCTAGTTCCATGGACTCACCTTCTCTACAATCTGAATGGTTCAAGGAGATAGAACATTTGTGTGTGAGGGCAGAAAGTTAAGTAAATCTCCTATGAGCCCAAACTGAGGGCTGTTTTCGCTGCTGCTGCTGATTTGGGCTGACGTGCATCTAAGCAGCAGAGTCAATACTGGCATTAAAGCAGGAAAGGTGATGTTTTAGCATGAAGTGTGGCGCCCCCCAGAGGCATGGCCGGGACTCCTCACCCCTGCCAGAGGTACTCGTCGTTGCCCAGGCCCTGCCACACACAGGAGGCCAGGCACAGGTCGGTGGCATTCAGGTAGGACAGGATGGTGATGCTGAGCTCTGGCGGGAGCATCTCCAGGTCGATGAAGCCGCGCTCCTCCTTGCCTCTCCGCGCCCGGAGCAGCTGGTAGATGTCGGTGCCCTGGCAGTGGCGCCGGTGGGTCAGGGGGTCGACGGAGGAGGCGGCGGCCGCCATCCTGCGACTGCGCTCTCGGGTCAGGTAGCACTGTTCGCTGTACTCCTGCTGCAGCTGCTGGTTTCTCACCACCCTCCACAGACCCTGACCCATCTGCAGATCTGAAAGTGGGTGGGGGGGGGGCAGGGCAGTCAGGCCGGGAGACTCCACCCACACCGGCACGGCCAAACCCCAATTCCTCCCCCAGAATTTGTGCGTAAACCAGGATCCTCCCACATACATCCTCCAGTCAGGAGTGTAATCAGCACGCACACACGAATCTGATGCTAAAATAATCGAACGCAGGGATTCATATGTGATCCGATTATTATTATTATCGGAGGCTGACATGAAATCAGTCGGCAGTAGCAGGAATAACAGCCAGCACGCGGTTCCAGCCCTCTAAGCTGGCGGATGGGCTTCACACGTCCTCCCACGACCGAGTCGGGCTCAGCCCGATCAGCTCCAACCTAAGAATGGAAGGCGGCAAGACGTGGGCGAGCCGGCAGAGTACCAAAGCAGACAGATTGACCCAAAGGATCACACATGCAAAGCAACAACAAACAGCCAAAGATGAGTCATGTTACTAAAAGAGATGGAGATGGATTGCAAACAATCACTTCAGTAAATACTAATGCTAATGCAATAGGAGGCGCTTTTCCACCGCACCAGGTACTGTACTTTCGGTACTTCAGTACTTTGGAGTGGGACTTGCAAACACTTTCATTGTCGATCTGGTTATGCAAGTAGCCTGCCTCTGAAACACAATACAACTGCCACCTTGAAAAAAGTCACAAACTCTGAAAACAAAGTTTAAAAAAAGAAGTAATGATAATGGATGCATGGACACATGAAGAGACCCAAGCTTTAATTGTGATCTGGTTGGAAGAACAGATACTACAGATCAGGATAGCATGACATGAAGTAAAATAAATTGTATAATATATTAGGACAGCATGGTATTATACTGCTGTAATAAATACTGGGGTATTTATAAAACAAAAAAAGGAGTTCACCATAAATTTCTCACAAACCCATTTAGGAGTGATTTAAACAGCAAAGATGAAAATTATTACAATTGCCTCGGGGAACGCATGCAGTGCTCATCCAAATGCAGCAGAGGTAAACTTTAAACTGATTTTTAGATGTATGCTAGATACTCTTGAAAAGGAATAATCAATAAAATTGCAAAACTTTTTCCTATGACAGAGTAAAAATGTTCTAGTGAAATTTAAACCCCCTGCGCTGCAATGTCTGTAAAGGACTGAAAGTAAGAAAAAACCTGATCTTAATCTAGCTGACTAGTGATGTAACAATTGCATGTGCATAACATGCGATGTATATATTAATAGTGCACATTGTCCAGCCCTATAATATACTATAGCCATTTTTTGAATTCAGTACAAAATACCCCGGCTTGTGATGTGATGTCATTTGGCACTGGTACCAGTTTTCATGTGAAAAACCAATAACTTGAAGTACCAAACTTTTGATACTGTCTTGAAGTATCAAAAGTATGGTACCTGGTACAGTGGAAAAGCACTCAGAGGTTAACACAAACAACTGTCATATTACACACAACTTCTGACTCACATGCGTATCTCTGTAAAAATTCAAATTAGCATCCAGATTAATGATTAAGTTGCTGAGTCAGTGTTCTTCCCTGTATGGCATCACCTTCTAAAAGGTTTTTCTTAAAGGCAGAAATGAGATTCCCGAATCATTCCTGAGTCATCATTTCATAGAATGTTCTGTGAAGATATTAATAATAGAGAAGTAGAATAGCTGTCACTTTAAATGATTATTTCCACTCGTGATTTGTTACTCTGTAGCACAGCATGGCTCAAACACGCAACGCCAAAGGTCAGCAGATGCCCTGAAACGTCAGACTCACTCAGCAAAGAATGGCGGGCTCCACAAGGACTGCGTGCCCCAAAAATCCTTGTTCCAGGGCCACACAAAACTTCAGGGCGAAGCCACTGTCCAGCGTGACAGACCCCCTCACCGTTATGTCACCAGGGAGCACAGGCAAAGCACAGATGTGACAGGGAATGCTTTCTGTTTTCACAGAATGACGTTTCTATAATTGGTCAGATGGGATGGATGGCAGCGCATCACGAATGACCTGCGGTGCTGGCTGCGGCTCCCCCTGCTGCTGGCCACCAGCATTGCTGCCTCCAGTAAGAGGTGAGGCAGATTTGCCTTTAGTTCGACCTCATTAATCCTCTTTGGACCTTATATCAAGCCTGATACAGTGTTTTCGCCGCACAGGAGTCTGTGTAGAATTCTGTACGCACCCACAACGCTTTCCGATTAATTTAGCTGGACATCTTAGTTCAGTTTTTCTGCCTCAGATTGGAATTGCCTGGTAACCCACAGCAGAATTCCTCACATGTTTTCAATGCTAGTACTTCTCTTTCATCTTTTGTATACCAGTGTGATGTGATCATGCCAAAATCACTGCTGTAAAGCCATGAGTGGTTATTCAACATTCCATTCCCCGTGACTGCCAGGAGACCAGCCACAATCCCCGTGACAGTCTGGACACAGAGCACCACCACCATCCCTGAACACTGTCGACTAAGTAACATACAGTACTTGTCTACATCAGTGCTGCTGAACTCAGGTGACATAGGCGGCTGCCTAGGGCGCCATCTTCTGTGGAGTTGCTGACTTAGCAAGCCAAATTCACTTGTTCTCGGATGGGGAGCAGCAGCAGTGAGGATTGCCTAGGTCATCACATGGACACTGGTCTATATACATGCACACACCATATAAAATTAACGTTAAGTACAGTTCTTCAGGATAAATTCAACTTTCAACTACTGTGCTTATATGGGAGGAAAACGCATAACCCCAAAACAATGACAGCCATTCACATCTTCACCTTATCAGTTAAATTCAGAAGACACACACACTTAAATCATGGGATCGCTTTGAGGGTTTAATACTCTTCTGGGGGATGGTCTTAGGAGCTCCTACCGCCGCAGGTGCCGAGTATCCCCACGTCTTTTCGATTCATTAATTCATTAAATATCAAAAGCGCTTGTTTTCCCCCACGTATAGTTGCGGTGTTGTTTGTTTTAACCGACTAATAGAGAATAGCGACCCTAAAACAATATAGGGGTCAGATCGAGCTTTGTTTATAAGAATTAGGTAACAGGCAACATGTTTACAATTTACCCCCCAGCGCTGCTGACGGCAGTAGCCGGTCCGGTAATCAGAGGCTGTCAACATAATCCACCGCTAAAGGCACACACGCACAGGCACAAAGTGAGGGGCAAGCATAGGGATGACTTATTTGCTACACAACATTCTGATTACGATTTGTAGTGTCCGATCTGGAAGAGAGCACTCCTAACAAAGACTTCAGCGCTCTTCCAGACTCAAGTTACAGCACACCCCTGCATCATCCGCCTGCACACAGCTCGACTGCATCACGTGTCATGTGCTTTAGAAACTGTCGCGTCGTCTAAATTAAAGCACTGGGATGTGGTGTGATACAAATATCTAAATTTAAGTTTTGTTCAGCAGTTTTTCTTCTCCAAAGCAACGAGGGAATACTTGACTTCATCATTCTAGGTTGAGGACCAGACCCGCCTTTCTCTAACGTGATTGGCTAACATTGCTCCTTTATGTCCAACTAGACACAGCGTTTGGCCGAGTCAGACGTCACTCCAAAGACCCCACTGTGTCACTAAGTTAGATTGACTCGGCGAAAATAAACCAGCGCCACCTACCCGTTTTGTAGAAAATTTTTCCACCGCCGCCGCGACGTACAGCGAAGACCAACGCTAACTTTCACAAGAGATAGTTATCCGCGATACTTCGGTCTCAGGAAAACTTTCATCTCTGCTGTCGTTGTCGTTTTTGTTGTCGGACGGAAAAGCTCCTGCTTGCAACTGTTGTGAAAGGAAGGGCCACAATGACACAACAAGCTTAATCTCCACCTATCAGTCCCGTAGGGCTTCTTCCTCCCCTCCTCCTCCCACCTCCTCTCCGTGTCGCACGCACCGTTGTCAAGTTTGACGTTTCTTGTTATTGGTGGAAATGACGTAGGACATTACGTAAATCTATCTGTGGATCTGTGCCCTTAGCGCGTCACGCTGAATGGGCTTTATTTCCCCCTTGACTACCATTTAAAAACATTAGAGCAAAGTACGACTTGTCCTTCTGCCTCTATCTAACGCCAACGTGCTTGGATAGTTGAACAATATGTGACAATATTTTTTATATGCTTGACCGTAACCTGATGAACAGATGGCTTTTTGAGGTGCTCTGGCGAATATGCTGCTACAAAACCAGAAGCAACCTGTAGTTCTATGGAAACCAATCGCGGCAGTTGCTGCAGTTTGACCGGCAAAAATAAAGCGACTATCAAGTAATTGGCATAGGTACGGAGCCATTGTTATTAAAATAAGCTTTTTTTTCCTGATTGTGGTATATGTTTAATGCATATGTCGTGCAATCAGTTAATACGTGTTTTGCTACGTCCACTTTGATTTGTAGCTAAACACGTTCAGCTGCAGCTAAATGTGACTTTTATAACCTGTTAGCTAGTAAAGTTTTACCTAACAACATACTTCTAAAATCAGTCACTGTGGAAAGTATTGTATACTTGTCTTATAGGACACGGCGGGAGCTAAGTTTTACTGAGTCAAAGTGTTTTCTCTTTTAAGATACGTGAACTTAAAAGTTGTCATTCAAGTATGCTATCGGGGAGATGTTAGATATTTTAAACATGGACAGAATTTATTTCTAAACAATGTGAATTACAGACTGGAGTGAAAAACAAGATGCGCAAAGAACGGCATATTTATTTATTTGTAATTTTCATTTTGAATGTAGCGCCTGCATTTCTTACTTCTTGGTCGGACCAAAGTAGACGCCAGCTATGACAACTGGCGATTTGAGAGGATGTCTCCGAAAGCTTGAACGTCAGCTTCGATCGCTTAAGTACCCCAGAGAAGTGGATTATTGCGCGTAAGTGGAGATCTTTGACTTGATTTATTAAATTATTTAATTAAGGCACGATCACGTGACCACGAACGCGGCGAGGACCTTTCGGTTCACATCGGGAAGCATCGGAGAGCGCGCGCACGGTGCGGGAACGCGCGGCTCTGTCAGTGAAAGCGGAGTAGAAACTGAAATTTTGTTTTTGTATAGGCTCCCGCTTAGATAATCTATCTATCCATCACTAACCACTTATCTTGGACGATTAAGGGCAGAACAGTCGACAGGACACGCAGTATTTTAACACGTGAGATGATGCAGTTTCTAGAGGAACGGAGTACCTAACCTTCTGAAAGCTTTGACCTTTTGGTGTGAAGTAACGGCGGCGGTCATTAACACACGTTTTCCAAAATATACCTGAAACAAAAAGAAAAGTCAAAGTCAACCTGTGATTTGAGTGAGTTAATAGTCATTTCAGATGAGCCAATTTGACAATGTGATTTTTCTAATATTAGCAGAGAATTAATTTGTGTGCTTTTTTCAGATATTGTTGTTGTTGTCTGTGTGCACGTTGTACTTTTGTTGTATATCGATGTATGTTGCACCCCGGTCCATGGAGAAACGTCCCATCACACTGTGAATGTGTACACAGCTGCTGATGACAGCTTGAATATTAACATGGGGGTGGTGTGTGGCCCAGTGCAATGGGACGCTTTTTTATTTCCTGTGTGACATTTCAAACCACTTGAGTCTGGAATGTTTTGTACACAGGTTTACAACTAAATGGACTACATTTAGCACAGACTACCTAGAATCTGACAAGTTATCAGGCTAAGTAAGAAATCCGGCTTTGTGATGCAGGCTCCAGCTGTGTCAACCCCCCCCAAATGGGACTCCCAACAGACCATAATTAATACTGTTGTACTGGGAAGGTCGTGTCTGAGAATGACAAAATGGGCTTTGATTTGTCAGAGACGAAACGAGAGGCTATTATAACTTTCTCGTAATTACGGAAGGTCAGAGAGCGTACGTAACTTGATGTATGACGCTCCCCCTGATATGAAATCGATATGCCCGGTGGAGGCTGCTCAACGTCAGCGCGGTGGCCGCATTCCCGTGTGCCACGTGCTGAAGGTCTGTCACGCGGCCGACATTAAACTGACGGGCCTCACGCGGAAGCCCATTTGTTTTGCTCTGTCGCGTCATTAAGCCCCTTATGTCATTAGCTAATTATTTCCCATCTTTAAGCAGAGAATGAAAAAGGAGCCCCAGAGGATAATGATTTATGCAATTCATCACTATTTTTGGGAGTTGTTTAAAAAATGACCTGTAATAAATGCAGTATGAGTGATGTGTATTAATATGATTTGCGCCCATGTTTTTAACTCTGCAGTATATTACGCTATTTTTCAGAAGTTCATTCTAGTGCATTGTGTGGTTCTTTAGATTTAAGTATATATTTGATGTATATTTGAATGTGTGATATTGACTAATATCCCGCCTGTCGTTCATCTTCAGTTTGGCCAGAGGTGAGCCTTCGTCGGTTCTGCCAATCGTGAGCTACGCCTTCGTCTCCTATTCGTCGCATGTCGCCGAGCACCTGGTCGGGCTCGGGGTCGAGCTAGCGGGGAAGAACGACCTTCGCTTCGTGGAAACCGTGTATAAGGTGAGCCGTGACTTTGAGAAAGCGCGGACAGGAAGCGGAGTTTCGCAGCAGGAAGCCATGAGAATTGGGTCCCTTTATGCGGGGGGGGGGGGGCACTTTCAGGTTCTTTTCCATGCCGTTCAGACGAGGGCTGCGCTGCCACCACCTCTGGGGCCCCTCGCATGTATGAAGGGCCTCTGGGGCCCCTTGCATATATAAAGGACCTCAGTTATCTACCTTCACTCAGTTATCATCGCCGGCCCGGCGTGTCAGAGTGCTTCCAGTTGCTTCCGTACTCGGCATGAAGAGTTCCGACGCCCATTCCTGGGGTCTCCTGGGGCCTGAGTTCCTTGGAGCGCCCACCCGCCCCCCCCTTCCCAGGCCGCTTCAGCAATCAGAAGAATAACCAGAAACACATTTGTGTTGGTATCCAGTTACAGACGCTAACCGCAGTGCAGTGATAGTGAGGGATGAGTGAAACTTGATTGCAGATGCACAGCCGATGTTGTTCCCCTTCTGGGGACAGACGGTATTTATGTGGGTGCTATTGGGGGAGATTGTCGCTCTCTCCAGTGGGACGTGCAGGGACATCCTGAACGGATCCGTGTTCCCCCTCGCGGATGTGCGTTTGGCCTGACTGCCCCTGCGATCCGTGTTTCCCATCAAGCTCGGCCAGCTTTTGTGTCCCTTCCAAGCTGCCATCCACCCTCGATCCTCCGGGCGGACCCACGCCTTCCCCATAACCTCGTAACTCGCTCTTGATAATTTAAAAGTCAGGGTAACAGGAAGAGTGCAGCCACAAGTTCTGTTGGATCAATAAGGGAATCTTGTGGACTTTACCAAAGAGTAGCATTTTATTTAATTTTTATTATCATAATGTTAAAAGGACACAGGGCAGCGAGTTTCATGTGATGCTCTCTCTGTTTTATCTTAAGTCGCTTTATCATTTTATAGCACTGGTGCGTACCGAGCATGTGTCAGCTGCATCTCTCCATGTTCTGCTCTCGTCTGCCCAGGTCCTTCGCGACGTCTTCCACTATAAGCCGCTGCTGACCAAGCAGCAGTTCCTGCAGCCCGGTTTCGCCGAGCATAAGATCGGCATCCTCTGCGACGTCATCGGATTCGTGACCAGGAAGCACGGACAGCTGTGCAAAGCGTCCAGGGTACGACTGTCATCTCGGAAAGTGGGATATTGATGTGAGGAGGCACTGAGGCTCAGGGGGGCGGCACTCCAGGGCTGGGGGTTCGAATCCCACTCCCTGTGGTCTGTCTCTCCTGGGATGGCTTCTAAACTCGCTGTGAATCTGTTCTGAATAAGCAGTTTAACAATGAGTGGGATGATTGACTGTACTCGTTGTTGTTACAGAAGGTCACTGGAATTTTTCATAGTGAGCCTTTTTACTTCAATTCCGATTTATTTTATATAGCACCTTTCACAACAGAATCGCCCCAAGGTACTTGACAAGTGTGTGGCTATCCAAATACTCAGAACTGTTTTTGCTATAATTTTCCATACTTTTAAATACTCCATCAAATATACTGTAGATGTTAGATAACCATACTTGTTCCAAGTTTAATAGGGTGACTGAGATTGTCACAAATCCCTTGCCTTCGCGAAGACGTTTGCCCATGGCCGGCTTTGTGAAAAGCTCTGTAGACACACAGGTGACATGGTGTGTCACTGCCCCTTTAGTATTTAATCTGCCGTCCAAGGTCACGGCTGCCATGTCATCAGGGTGACACACTCGGCACTGTCGCATCCTGCTGTCTGCTGCAGGCGCTGTGCGTCTCTCATTGCTGCCTGTAGATTAGCCTGTAGGGGGTGCTGTAGAGCTTGGTGTCACTGTCTGCAACATTTTCAAGTGTTAAGCATCCATCTGCCTTCTCGCTGGTTGTGTGGAGGCCTGGAGACCATTTCAGAGAGTGGGACAGTTTTTAAAAAATATTTATAACTTGTCAAACCTGAAAGATGTATGCTTTAGTAAAGTGAAAAATTAATATGTACTATAAAGTATACAATATACAGTGGACAGTATTACTTACCTGTGTTTTGTTTACATTGTCAGCCTACTTTCCAGAAAAGGAGTAAATCCGGATTTCCATCCATCGATCCGCTGTGTAAAATGGAGAAGCTCCCTACCACTGATGTAGTAACGTCTGGGACCTTCAGTGTAAGTCTTTGTGATGCCGGAGGTTGACCACGCTCCCCCCTCCTCCCCTCATCTCTCGTTGGTGAATGTGGCACCTGAGCCCCACCATAATTTGCTTTGTGCTTTTGAGAAACTTAGTAATTCGATGTTGGCTGATCGGGGATTAACATGTTAAAGCCCATTAATCAGGTAACATTAGTATTGTGTCTGGAACCAGATGCCTTTTTCTAGAGCGAAGGGGTACAGAACCCACAACATTCTGGTGCACTGTCAGAGATTGGTGTCCTGTTTTTTTTCGGTGGCACAGAAGCTGCCCTTGGTGGAGAGACACACCGGCGGTACGACTTCCGCGCTCACCAACCCCTTGTGCGACGAGGGGGACTCTGAGGAAGGATCTGAGACTAGCTCTGAGAGGGAGGAGCCTGAAGCTGATGACCCACCGTCACCCGATTGGCCGACGGGGCCGCAGGTTCGCCCCACGCAATCTCTCCCACTGTGGCAAGTAATGGGCAGCCCACCTTCTTGTCACGCACGTGACCTGCAGATGGATGAGGCAAGGCTGCAGGCTCTCGAGGCCCAGCTGCAGGAGTGCCAGGCCAAGCTGGAGAAGCTCTCCAGCCTGGAGAGGCGGCTGCAGGCCCTGGAGAGGGACACAGCTGGGAAGGTCGTTATGGACAGGGAGCAGTGGGAGAACCTGGAGAGCCGGGTGCTGCTGCTGGAAACCAGGCTGGCCCTGAGCTCAGCACAGGTAGGATCCTGTCACCTTCCGGTGCACAGCGGGGAGATCGGTGCAGATCCCATCCTGTACCGCATCCTGCCTGTTTTTGTTTTCCTCTCACCTTTCCTTCCTTCGCTCATGTGTTTCGCATTTAAATTTATGCCATTTTTTCTTTTCCTGTGACTCGCCTGTTGTTTACTTTTCAGCTGTTTCACTGAATCATTGAGATTCAAATTTTTTTTTAAAGAGCTTCTTCCAACATGAGTTTTAAATATGTGTTCTGACTTTCTGCGTCAGTTTTTTATTCTCGACAAGGTGATGCAGTCCAGATCGGGATGCGTTTCATTTTTCTGGTACCGGCTCTGGATCCGCATTCCGGGGGAAGGTGTCCTAAGATGCTCTGCGCTGTTTATTTCACATTAATTGGACTCGAATGATCATAGGAGGCAGTGAAGAGGGGGGCCTCGACTGTCACTGTGTTGATCAGAATGTATAATGTAATAAAGAAGCCCCCCAGTAGGCAAACAAATGAATTTCATCTCCCCCTCCCCCAGGCAGAATCATCATTACTGCTGACAGAAAAGGACGACATAACGAGCCAAGAAGTTTCTGGTAAACACTTGACATTGTCAAATCAGCACTCGGCCAGTATGATGTGAGATCAAAGCCCGATCGGATTTTTTTGTGCATCTTAAAATAAAGCCAACTGTGACCTTTATCGCCCACGTTTCTTTGCTATGGCGCTGTGGGCCGTTGACGTTTACCTGTCTGTGGGCTGGTGTTGATGGACGGTATATGAACACCACATGTAGTATCAGCACCAAGCATACACTATACTAGCAAAGGTTACTCTCGGTGTACTAACAGCAGCACACAGACAAAGGACTCATAGCCTAAATGGGGCTGTTGTTTATGCAGAAGCTGGACCTGAGAGTTCCAGCGCCCTCTGCGGCAGTCTGGCAGGACATCGACCCCCTGAAGCAAGTCCCATCTCTATGACAGATGTCTCAAAGGTCAGTGTAGCTTATGTCGCGGGGGCGTCTTTCCAAAACCCCAACTGTTGGCTCCTCCCATAGGTAAACACACCCCCCCCCCAAATGCTTGGCACCATTTAGACCAGTGCTTCACAAACCCGTTCTCAGGAACTTCCAGACAGTCCACATTTTTACCAGGAAATGGGAGAGAGCAAAAATGTGGACCGTCTGGGAGGGAGCAAAAATGTGGACCGTCTGGGAGGGGACTGGGAGGGAGCAAAAATGTGGACCGTCTGGGAGGGGACTGGGAGGGAGCAAAAACGTGGACCGTCTGGCAGGGGACTGGGAGGGAGCAAAAACGTGGACCGTCTGGCAGGGGACTGGGAGGGAGCAAAAATGTGGTCCGCAATAAGCATTGCGGCTTATTTACTGTTGGGATCTCATCCCTCCCGGGTAACTGCAGCCCTGTGTCCGTGCCGTGAATCCGCACGTCAAACCAGGGTCCCCCGAGCGCAGCCGTCGCCCAATGACAGAAACTCATAATGACAGGGACCTGAGGATTCAGCCAGAGACACGTTTTACTGAAACGCTGCGATATTTGGATGTTTGTGTCTTTTTCTATTTTCATCCTTCCTACTTTTTTTTGTTTTTTTTTTTTTGTTTTCCTTTTAGGGGACGTTAAAGCGATTGGAGAGAATCGCCAGCATGTAAGTCTGTGTCCCGTGAACACAAACTGTTGTCTGTTACTGTTACCCCAGGCATTTATATCTATACAGGATCTCTCTGGTTTCTTTCATGTCCTTCAGATTTGTTTAGACTCTAAAACAGTTTTTTTTTCCCACACAGGATGAAAGATACATCAGGTCTTCTGAGAAGTGCAGATCCCTCTATGTAAATTCTTCCCATTTTCTTTTGTAAGCATGTATTTTAATATTTAAAACATTCTCATGCACATAAATAAACTGTGACCAGTTAATATTTGGCAGAACAAGTTATTTTTTTGTTGTGGTTCAAGAAAAGTGTTTTAACTGTAAAGAAGTGCTTGAAAGTGCCCAGTAGAGGTCGCTGTGGCTTGGCTGTGCTCCATTTATGCTTTTCATGACCCGCTCTCGCCCTCTAGGGGAGCAGCGGCAGCATTGCAGGCTAGTTAAAGGAACTGTGTATGGAACCTGAAAAATGCAAACTATCCGAAACAAGTTCATGTTTTGGCTTAATCTGCAAGCTCTGTTCCATTCAGCTTTCAGAATCAGAAGCTTAAGGATCAAACAAACATCGTTTGTTAATTTCTTTATGTAGTGTTGCTCCTAAAATCAGATAGTCTTCAAAATAAAACGGACAGGGTTAGGACATGTCTGACACGCAGAATGTGTAATAATACCAGGCATATTTAGGTTGCAGCCTCGGAATGCTTGGAATTTCATGAATAGTTGTGTTCTGAACATGCAACTTTAAAATACCAAGATTAGCTGATTAGGCGTCCACAACTTGGTTGGCGGAATCGCGTGTCGAGCATTAACCACATGTCAGCTTGTTGCTACAGTATGTGTTGCTATGTGTTGCTGATGACTGAGATGGCAGTATGGGGGAAATGTATACTTTCAGGTTCTCTGGCACTCCTAAAGTTTGTATAATGTATTGTAAGATTACATTTAGAGAGCTGTGTATATTAGATTAAATTGAGATTTTGCTCCTTTTGAAAATCGACAGGTGAGATATTAGCTGGTTCAGTTGGCTGCCGGTCTAGTGCCCTGGGAACGGGTTGCTGAGAGTGTAAACTTCCCGTTTGTTAAGTGAAGTGGGCCGGTGTTTCAGGTCTGGGCGGCAGACCGTGCATCGCTGCGGGAGATCAATCTGGGGCAGGAGATTGGAGACGAGCTCGCTGCTCCTTTCACAGCTTATTGAGAAATTGGAAATGACCATGTCATTAATGAACCGGGCCGATTCCATCATTCTCGCTGCTGACTAGCTCTAATGGCTTCATCATAAATAGATGAAGTCCCTGCATGCTCGGGAAGCAGAGCCGTGGCACCCTCTGCAGAACCGGACGATTCTCCTTTTATGAAGTATTTTAATTTACCCACTTAATTCCCCCTAAACGGGCTTAATTGCCCGGATACGGGCTGCCCTCCCCGCTCGGTATAAACGACTACTTCAGCTCCTTACTCTGGCGTAGAAACCAGGCTGCCTGTGGTGGGTTCTGTTACAGCACGCCCAAATCCCAGCTGTTAAAATACATGTATGCTTACCTTACTTGCCATCTGTTACGCATATTTCTGTATAAACAGAACTACCTTGCAGTAACCATGCCTTCCTGCCCAAACTGCCAGAAGCATGATTCATGGCGTAATTACAATGTGGTGTAAGGCAGGAGTTGTGAGCTGGAGGCCACAGACCGTAGCTGTGAGTAGGAATGATGGCGATGCGCATCACGGTGACGGCGGGAGCGCCATGTACCGCAGGTGCAGGTGGCGGGAACGCTGGCGACGGGCACTTGGAGGCGGAGCCTCAGGCTACTGCTAATCCTGCGAGTTAGTCATTGCGGAGGGTGTGCGCTTTGGGGGTGGCCTGCGCACCGTGCCAGAACTGCGTTAGCGCCCCAGTGAGCCGCTAACCGCAGTGTGTTATTGCGCGCAAACTCTTTACCTCCCTGGCCGTTGCGGAGCAGGCGAAATTCAACCCCCCCCCCATCAACTAATTGAAGCAATCCGTCACAGTAATGAGGACGTCCGTGATGGATGGCGGAGAGATGTTTAGGGTTAGGGTGACGGGTGGGGTCGGGGGAGGGTTGCCGGCAGAATTAGATCAGGGATGATGTTGGTGGTGCAGTTTGTACTGTAGTCTCCTGCCAAACAAGTGGGATAATTTATATCCTCTGTACACACAAGATGTGGGAGGCATGACTTATATTCTGTTGTTGTGGAAGGCAGCACTGTTTATTTTTGTTCTTTAAATCTAATGTTTTGCTTAGTTTCAATTTACCCCACCTCCCCCCCCATAGGAGAATTTCCGTTCCCGGATCTTGATTGCAAATTAATTTCTTTCCCTCTCCCAAATATCACTGACGTTTGTTGCTCTTGGCAGGCCGCCGGAGTCTTGCTCGGTGCCAAATGAAACAGTTTTCTTAGGCGCAAGGGAAGGCCCCGAGGTGGCACCTTATCGCCTGATACAGGCGCCCTGGCCAAAAGCCCCCGCTGCTTATAAATGCCGAACGGCACTGTCCTTGTCCACCAGGGCGGCGCTGCAGGCTGCCCATGTGCGGGAGCATGGCGCTGGGCATTTCATCCAGCTTCGGCGTCATGCACATGCAGATGGGGGCGGAGTCTGTCTGTGAAGGTTAACCAGCACGCCTTTCCATCTGACCCCCTGTTGTTTCCTCCACGGGACCCTGGGTTATCGTTGGAATGATATCGTTGAACAAATCGCGACATATAGGAGGGAACAGAAGGAGAAAAACGTTAGGTCACCCATTTTCCTCTCTTGATTCAGCTGAACGGGTGCCACTAGAGCTTGTGGGCGCCAGGAAAACATCAATTTGGGCCCCCAGACCAGTCTAGTTATGCTCCATGTTTTCGAGGGCCCCACATTTTAAAGGGCCTTTTGAATCATCCTAACACCCCCCCACCTTATGGCGCTCCTGCAGCTGAAACAGCTACTTTATGTAAGTAACGTCCAGATTTATAAACCAGACGAAGGAATTTATGTTGTATATCGACGGCTGAGGCGGTCCTGTTTTGTAGTGGGACCCTTATGGAGTGCACTTTACCTTATATTTGCTAAAACCTTTCTTCTCCAAATTCAAGTGACATGTATTTCTAAGTGCGCACTAACTTCAAGACCATGCACTGAAAGTTATTATGTAAAAGGTAAAGAAAGTATGAGCTTGCAAGTATTACAGCACCCCCCCCCCCCCAAACCCCCACGTTACCCTCCCCGTAACCATGTCATCCTCCTGTTAACATGCTCCTTAGACTAACGGCCACATGATTTGCACGGTAAAGACCTGGCTTGGGTTACACTATAAGTTTTTATGGGTGCAAAAGGTAGGCTATAATCTTAGGTAAACACAGTCTGCAGGTAAGGGAGACGTACAGGACGCATGTGGTGCGTAGTTCATGCCGTGGTTTTTGCTTACTGCTGTGTTTTACGGTACGGGGAAACAGGACCGAGCACCAGAGATGTAGTGATTAATTGCTCCCTGTCTTTTTAACCATGACTATCTGTTTGCTACGTTTTTTCGTATTGCTGATATCGGTCTTTGTACCGCCTCCTGTTCATACGCTTCTGTATATATTTGATGGTAAATTTAGCGGTCTTATCTGGTTTCGTGTTGTGCAAGCTCAGCATTTTAAACTTCTCGCTCTGTTCACCCGTCGGATTACTATAGATGTTAGAGCGCTGATTAGGCTGCATATCATACATGGGGAAGAAGGAACCGGCTATTTTGCATTTAGACGTTAGAAGCGGTTTTGCTGGTCATATAAACTAAAATGTGAATGAAACTAAACGTGTTCAGCAGGAAACATAAGTAGCACCAAAAGTACGCGCTGATTTGGGTCATTTAAGAGAAATACCTGACGTTATGTAACATGTAGCCTACGAGATCCGCAGGCATAATTCAGAAATGCGTAGTGTGTCCTTAGTGCGCCGAGGGGGTTTATTATCTCGGCCGCTATTGTTAGCGCGTCCTGCCCTGTGTAGGTCTGAGACATTGACAAGAGGGGCCGCTCCGTTTAGGATCCGGGCTCCGTCGGCTTTCCCGTACCTGCAGCCCCTCGTCGTGCCTTCCTTTGCATGTTAATGCTAAGTGGGAGGGGGGAAGACATTCGAGTCCATTTGTTCTTGAAGAGTTATTGTGATCGTTTAACGTCATTTCAGCCTTAATTCTATCCAACACCCCCGTGGCATAAAGCGCCTATATGTTTTACATAATAGGTGACTCACACTGGCACATAAATGACAAAAGAAGACGCCTTTATTTATTTTTTTGTTTTTAAGTTTATTGAATTTTACATCGTTGGGAGGCGATATTTCGTCGCCTGGGTTACCGCCGTTCCTAAGACGACAGGGGACAGCAGCACGCGCGTGCCCCTGTTTCAGTGACAGTTGTGCGTGGCCGGAAATGTCCGTGCCTCGCCTCCACCGAGCTCTCAAAAAAAAAAAACCAACACCAGCTGAAGGTGGGATTTAATCACATGACACTTGGTTCTTTAAAACCTTTGCAGACTTATTGCAATCCCTGGCTCTAGTCGGCCAGTGGTGCTGAAGTGCCACAGAATGGAAGGAGAAAATCATCAAAAAATAAAGCCCTGACCAGCATAGTTATGCTCTTGTGAAAAAAAACTAATGCCTTGTCCACACGTACACGGGTATATTTTATTCGGCTAAGTCCGCCATTTCTCAAACTCGCCTAATGTATACAGCAAACGGCGCTCGCTCTGATGTTAAAGTGGACAACGGCGCACAATCTGACATTTTCCCTGTCTACATGTTGACGTTGAAAATGGAGTTTCTTAAAATCTTCACCCTGGATGGAGTTTTGCAAAAGCTCAGTTTTCAGTGACCTGAGATGCCGTTTACGTGTGGACAAAAGACCAAGACCTATAGAAAAAGGTACGTTTTAAAATATACCCGTGTACGTGTGGACAAGGCATAAGTCACCATTGTTGCCAGCACAAGTCATGTGACCTTTAATAGAAAAAAGGACATACAACAGTTGAATTGTTCCGTGCTTTTCTTCTGACTGGGTGCCTCTGACTGGCCAAACGCAAAGCAGGTGGAAGGTGCTGGAATTAATTGATTGCTTTGCCTGCTATCAGGGTTGCCAACTCAGGTATCTAGTGTGACACTCATGTTTTCAGCCTTAATCTCACTCTCATGCTCACGCAAAAAATCCTACGGCAAATCTATAGTATTCCATTATAAACCTAAAATTAGATGCGTCAAAAGCGTTGGGTAGTTTGCAAACCCTACAAACTATTTACAAGGTGATAAAACTCTTGCTTAAATGTAAATGAGTGTGCATGTGTGTGCAGACTTGACCAAAGTTGGCAGCCCTTACACACACACACACCTGTCTATATAATATTTGCAGCTTATCAGATTAGCTTCCTAATTCTCATTAGTACGTATCCAAGTTTGTTCAGCTAGGCTTATTTCTGCTGTTCCTCAGCTGTCGTCACAGACCGTGACACCCTGCTGATTAACCACTGCTGTCCTGTTCCTGATGGACAAATGCTGCTTTGTTTAGGGCGACTGGAGCCATTCTGAGGAGCCGCAAGGACCTTAGGTTTGAGGAATCGAAGCCAATTGCGGTCGTCAATGCATCACTACATCTGTGCTCAAGGGAAGGCAACAGATACGTACCTTGTGGCTAATTCGGGGATCGGTTGTGGCTTACTGTCCCTGTGAAATGTAGGTGTGTTTGTGTGGCACGCTAAGCACCTAGAATAATTGGCGTAACAGGAATGACAAACAACCTTCTGAGAATAAGAGCCGTATAAAGTGTCTCATCCACCCTGGATCGGATTATCTGCTCATTAATTGAAAACTTGCCCAAGTAACTGCAGCCTGAAGGGACGTACAGTCGTGTGACCCTGTTATTTTCGCGGAGGTCTTTGCGCTATGGGCTGCCTGTGAAGTTCACCGTGGCGTCTGTTATGAGTTTTGGATGTTTCGCCCAGAGGGCCGGTCCTGGCTCGTTCTAGCAGCACCCGCGTTGAGGAATTTGACCTGCCGACCCTGCACGTTTGCTCGCCGTGTTTTGGGGTTTTGTTCGACTCGCCTGCCTGGGAAAGGAAAAAAAACATCTCACCTGGGCCAACAGGGTGTGGGGGGGGGGGATATAGCTGTGTAGTGGCAGAGTGTCTGAAGGATAAATGTGTGTGTGAGCGCCATTCTGAATAAAAAGGGGAGGTGTGAACGTGGTCAAACCACTTTAATTTCCTTCAGTTCCTGCGGCTGTATACATGAATGAGAAACCACACACAAATGGGTGCTGGGGGCGGCAGATCACCACTGGCATCTAACTGGGGTGGGGGTCTGTCAAAGTGGTTCTGGGTACCTCCGATCCAGTTTATTTCAGTCATGAAGAAGACGATGTCATCATTATCGGAGCTGGAAAGCTGTGATATCTCGCTTAGAAAGTCTGCAGAGGAAAAGCTGATGTATCATGTTCAGTCAGGTTGAGGTTTGTCCTGGGTGCCACCTCTCAGATGCTATAACATACGCCTACTAAGCTCATCTCCAGTGCCATCTCTAATACATACTGATAGCTATGCAAAAAGCGGTAGCAACACACAGCGGATTTGGATCCGATTTCCGATGCCTTCCAAGCGACGGAGCCTTTACGTTTCCGGAAATGGGCAGCTGGGCACCGGCGCGGACGTGCGGCTGATCAGCACGAGGGCGGCTCGTAGGTGTGAAAGTGAATCCCCTTCGAACACGTGATCTTCATCACCGCGCCGTTCAGGGTGGCGTCCGTTATCATTCTCACCGCTCCCTCGGCGACCAGAGAGGGCCTGAAAGGGGGAGAGAGCGTCAGGACAAGGGGGCCGGGGCCGGGGGGGGCGGCAAAGTTTCCCCCCCTCTACGGAAATACAAAAAGGGCAGCTGAGTGTGAGGTGGGAATCTGTCCCGCCCTGAGAGGGGGCTTGTGGTCTGATTTCTACAGAACGGCTCACAAGTCTCTGTAGATGTGGTGCGATGGAATCTAAAAAGATAAACTCTATTAGTGAAACAAGGATTTCTCGGAGTTTCTATCCACAGCACAGAAAACTGAGTAGCACCGTTTCAGGGCTGGTCTACCTCTTCCTCTTCCTCTTCTGTGTGCTACAGCGGCATGGATGGAGCTGGGTGGTTCTGTGCCCCCCCCCCCCAATTGAGCGTTCCCAGCAAGCAATGCAGTACAGTAAACAATTGTTTGACAGGTATGTGTGTGCCTGGTTAGATCAATCTCTCTCTTAGCTCATTTGGTCTTAGTAATGCTATGCGTCATTTAAAAACTGATAAATACATACTTGTCTGTAGTGTGATTTTTGTCGGCAAGGGAATTGCTATGGGACTCCTGACTTTCTGCCAGCTCACCCACGCTATCATTTCTGGCTCTGCTATAGGACTGGGTTCCAGATAATTAGAACCAGTATTAAGATGTAGCAGTAAGATAAGTGGATAGAAGTGAGGCGGGCAGATGAATGGATGAAGATGTAGGAACCGTGACTGCAGTGATGAGCAGCTTTTTTAACTTTTGGTTGAGAGGAATTTAAACTTATTCCCTTAAAATTCCCACTTTCATTAGTGTTCCTGATGGCCTTAAACAGAGTTCTGTGGTTGGGTTTTGTGCGCTCATCTGAGAGACAGTCTTTCTATTAACTATTCTCTGGCACCTGGAACAAGCCTTACAGTTAATCTCCCATTTTGTAGCTTTTAGTTGGTGTTTTGTAGCTGAAGGCTGTCAGAGTTATGCAGGTCGATATCGAGCACTAGCTTGACAAACAGCTGACCCCTAAAAGTGTCACTTTCTCGTACTCGCTTTCACGGCTGCAAAAATGCCGTTTAACGCATTCGCAGAAGCTTGGCGACACGTGACAGCACTGCGAACTGCAGCGCGCCGTCCAACAGCGTGTGACGCTGCTTAACGCCTGTCCGTAACTTAGATGCAGTGTGGCGAGGTGAGGCGGGGCGGCGCTCAGGGGGCCGCGGAGTTCCGGATGCTGGTAGTTTCAGGCTTCGCTGGATTCTGAGGATGCCGCGCGGTAGCTGAAGCGGAGACGGGCGGGATGGCACCTAGCGAGAGCAGGGCCTGCCCGCTCCATTCGGCATGGCTTACTTCAGCACGCCGTACTTGTCCATCCGCTGCTTGAACTCATCCTTGTACTCGACGAACTTGCCCATGTTGTCCTCCTGATTAACGGACTGCAGGAGGGGCGTGTCCACGAATCCCGGGCAAAGCATGTTGATCCTGACGCCATAGCTTCCCCGCTCGGCCGCTTCCTGTCGGTGGACAGAAGAGGGCGTTATACTGCTGCTCGTTTAAGCCAGGGGTCCCCAGTTCCGGTCCCGTAGGGCCAGTCTGCAGATTTCCCTGCTCAAACACATTTTAGTGAGCTAATTACAAGGTGTAGTGAGTGTGTCTGAGCAGGGAAATCTGCAAATTGCATTGCAGGTGGGGGCCCTCCAGAACCAGAACCAGAACTAGAACCAGAACTAGGGATCCCTGGTTGAAGCTCAGAAGCAGCCGTTACACAGTTCATATGCATGGAGACAAAGCGGCAAGCTTTCGCTACAATGTTAATCGCTGGTCGAGAAGCAGTGTCACTGGTGACTGAAGCTCACCGCCAGAGCTCGGGAGAAGGCGACGACCCCACACTTTGTGGCAGTGTACACAGGCTGATGTGGGGAGTGCAGGAAGGCTGCAAGCAGAGACCCAGAACAAAGCTCATCAAGAACATACAGTATTAAACCTGAATGCCTACACGCAACCATAATACCTACTACTATTGTGCATAAATCAAGGTAATGCATGTAATCATAGGCACATGGAGGAAGGGCTGGTTTTGTGGACTTAAACTGGACCGCTGCAAAGAGAACAACTATTTGTGAAATAATTATGAAACTAAATGAACTAAACTACACAGGGCTCCGGCCCTCCAGGACTGCGGTTTGACACCCCTGGGATAGATGGATCGATCTTGTTCTATTTGAACGACTGTGCATAGCTGCTTGTGGAGATATTTTCCTGTCTGCATCAGTGAAACAACTTCACGCTTGGTGACTGTTTACAAGACACCATGTACGATTTGCGCAATGAAATGTCACAGCATTAAGAGAAAAATGCAGTAGACAGGCTGCCACACGTGAACTTTGAGACCATTATTAAGAAAATGGCGGCTACGCTACATGTTAAAACAAACAAGGCGATCCGCCTTGGCAGACAGCAGCTCGTTTATAAAGCGTTTTAACAGCTGTCACGGTAAGTATGGAACCGTGTCAAGTAGGGATCTGGCCGGGATTTGCTTTATATCACTTTTTGTCATCGTTGGGATTTTCTGATCTTTTTTTATGTATTGTTTAGTCTAATTCTCCAAGTGACCTAAGTAGGAATCCATGGTTGCTCATACCTCGACCCTTCATCCATTAAGTGTTCATGCTCATGATGCAGGCGCTGCCGGCGATCTCTTCTTTTTTTTTTTTTTTTGCCATTTTCTATTTTCAGTGGAAACAAACAAGGTGCCTCCGATGGTGGCCCATAGAGATTAACCCACGCATCCAAAATACTGCCTCAACTGCAGGCCCATTCTATCTAAGATTCAATAACCAGCAAACGAGACTTTATTCTTTGAATAAACTCGTTAAAGCACTTGTCCCGCAGGGGGTTGGTGCGCAAACTGACTAATGGAAATTCCTAAATGGAATTCTCGGTCTATTCCCCTGCATTAAAAACCACTGAAAATCAAGCGATGGACATCCTTACTCTACCTATTTTGCTGCACTGAGGACTGCAAGGATGGAGGAACTAAGACGCAATTTCCAGAAAGGAAGTCATACCACTGAAACATGCGGTGACTAAGCGAAGACAGCGGGGCGGGATCTGCCGTCACGCCCGCGTCAGCTGAATAGACGCGGACGCGCAGGAGTGCCGAGGTGCGCAATTCGGTAAATATCCACTGGGCTGCCGTGACGGATCTGTGACTGTCATTAACTCAGAGGTGGCTTTGCGTCTGTACATCTCTGTTATGTCACATCGTTTATGATGACTGGAAACTAATTAGCTCAGGGGGACTAAATTGTGATAAGTGACAAAATATATGAAAAAGGTATGTTACGCAGACACAGCCAAAATGCTTATCTGGCACTGCCATATTTTCACAAACATGCTGCATGTACATTTAATTACTAGGCCTAAAACTCTTTAATGAGTTTAAACGACTAGTGTCAACCACGCTTAACACTTTTAAATTGTCTAGGTTGTACGACCGCTTCAAAGGAAATCGCGATGGACATGTAGGTGTTTAATGGCGATTTAAATTTCGGTTTCACACTCTAGCTGGACTGACAGTGCTGCAGGAAACGGAGCGAATTCCCCATTTTTTTGGACAATAGCAGCTTTAGATATTTGAAACTTTTGTGAGTGTTTACTGGCGTTAACATGCGATCTTCCCCGAACTGTCTTATACAGATGTGTATCTGCTTCGGAACAGCGCTCTATTATCTGATTATTACACTACAGATTGGCGAACAGATTAGATCACATGGAGCCTATTTTTTTAAGATACACCGCAAATCCGCCGCAAGGTTTGCATTGAAACGATGCACTGCAGAATCGATAAGACGCTGTCTTCCTTGCTAATTGTGTGTAGTCTAGGACGCAGGAAATAGTGTTATTTCCAGTGAGCCGATAGCTGTGTAGATGAGTGCACCCAAAGGGCTTCGATCGCGAGAATGAAGCAGAACCACCAGCGTAGCGACATTAACTCACTTGGCTATATAGTCCCAGCAAACCAGGAAAAAACCGGGAAATCATATATCATTATTCTGCTTAGAAATACTTTTAGAAATACTGTTTAGAAATATACCCACCTGCCATGGACGAGACATTTATGATCACGCCGCCTTCTTTCCCGTACTCTTTGCTCATATGCTCTAGGGCCAGGTACGTACCCTGTATTACTGATGTCTAAAAAGGGGTAAAAACATTTTCTGAATGTAGTTCATTCTCCCACTTTATATAGGCCTATTTACAGAATAATAAGTAGCTGTAGGTAAGTCACACGTCAAAGCGGCGTCGAAATACAAACACCGTAGCTACAGTCTCCTGTACACGGATATAAAGCGATTCACAGGGTTACCAGGTTAACTTCAATGGTCTTCCTCCAGTTCTTCTCGTTATTTATCCCCGCGTTGTTAACTACAATGTCAAGCCTTCCGAAATGTCCGACCGTCTGCTTGAATGCATCTGAAACGGCAACGGTGTTTTTAAATGGTAGGTTCATGCATGCGTTATTAATTAGCCTACTTTACCTTAAAATCACGTTTTAAAGCACGAGGTTGTTTCGAGATTATTTCGTGTTTTGATAACTGAATCGATATAACTATATGTCAAGGTAATGATCAACCGAACACTTACTCTATACATGCGACTAAAATAAATGCAGCCGCGCTCCTTGCGTAATGAACTAAGACAAACCTGTCAAGAGTCAGGTTTATTTTTTTTACCTTGCAGATTCAGTGTATCAGTGACATCACATGGAATGAAAATGCTGTTTTCTTCGTCAAATTCATTGTCCAGTTCTTTCTTGCACTGGTCCCCCACTTGGCGATTAAAGTCCAGGAAGGCGACCTTAAGGAAACGCAAAGGATGCAAGTAAACACGGAGTAAAAGTAGAAGCGGCGCCAGCCACCGCTGCTAGTGCCAAAGCTTTAATTCATGTAGTGGGAAAGGGAAGCCGGTGTGTCGTTTTCCTTCACCTTTGATTCATTCCTCAGAAGACACTCTGCCACTGCTCTTCCGATCCCTTGGGCTCCGCCGGTGACCAGCGCGACTCTCCCACGCAAAGCCATCCCTGTCAGCCTCGCCTGCCGGCTCGCAGCTATAAATCGGTTATCATCGGCCACGATCAGCTGTCGGAAAAAGGCGGGCAGCCTTTACATTCACTGGTTTCCAGCCGCGCTTATTGACGGGGATTCTAAATATTTGTGGAAACTTCATAGCCGAATGAATGAATTGACAAATGTACTTACAGTTATATAATTGTGAAAGACTAAAAACTTCGGTGGATTTCATTGACGGCATTTTTATTATAATATTATATTATCATGTTTTCCTCACGTGTGCAGGTTTTTCTCGAGGTTCGGGAAATGTTTCGCGTGCTGCAAACCTGTGCTAAAACTGCGCCCCACGTAGTTCACACGTTGTGCATAAATAAACCTTTATATAATACAGTTTGTGTGTTCTGATAACATTTAATACAAACCATTATATGATTAGAAATACTTATTTTATTCAGATGCTATCAGATTTTAAAGGCAGTTACTGCTGACAAGAGACTAATGAACTCATTAGGTACTGTTTTAAACAGAGACCGCACAACCGGGGGGTGCACTTTTTTTTTGGGGGGGGGGGTTAACTTTTGGAACATCTTTAAGTATGTAGTGACTAGTGATTGCCTACAAATAATTTAATGCAAACCGATACTTGCTTGATAAATGCATGTTTCTAAAGAAAGTGTGCTTTTACAGATGCAAATGATAGGCTATTGGTTAGTCACCGAGTTGCGATTTGAAATCTACCAATCAACTATTTTTAGACTGCATATTTAAGGTTTCGTTATTGGCAGCGTTAGCTAAATCTCAACATGCTTCGCGTGTGTATCGTACATGCTAATGAAGAAGCAGAAAGTTATATCTGAGCTTTACAAAACCAAGCATTATGCGTTCCGCGGTCTTTGACTAAGAGAAAAACATTAATGCTTATGCTCACATGTACATCCGGTCTGTGAGTAGCCTGTAACATATGTTTGTAATGTGGTATATTTCCTCATTGTACGACGCTGGACAAAAGTGTCTGCTAAATGAAATAAATGTGAATATCATACCGTGCATGCATGTATGTGTAGGTAACACACCTTTATTTCCCTACTTAGGAGTTAAACTCACAAAAGTTAGGGTCGAAGTCCACCGCGCCCTTCGATAAACGGACCGAACCGCCATTGTCACAAAACACACGATTTCCTTCATTTGAAGGATATTTATTAGATATGTGAAAATAATTTACACGTGTGCATGGAACAAAAAAAAACTACAGAGGAAATAATCATTCAAAACCTTTTCTAAGATAAAATACATCAACACTGACTTAACCTCATGCATAACACATGACTGATTTCGTACGAAATAAATGTTAGTGGAATTCACTTGCACCAGAAATGTATGGCAATATTCAGACCTGTCGGAATGCGTTGGGACATTTATCTGTATACTTGAAATATTTGGCACACGCAAGTTTTGTTTTCGATACACTTCCGATTGGTTATTTGTACACATGTAGAATGCTTTATCTCATTCCAGGTGTGGGCTGGGGATTTTTAATCTTTCAAAGAATCTTTTACACATTTAATTTGGAAATAAGTATTAGTAGAATAATATTAAGGTCTTAATGTCACACAGTTTAAAATATTTTGATATTTTTAGGAAGCCCCAGTCAATACATAATGGGAGACCCCATGAGCTCACAGTTACAGTATATATGTTATGTTAAATCTACATTATGAGAAACAATTAATCCACATTATCTGGGGCAATTCAGCAACATGATTCTAGACATGCAAAATTCCTCACAGTTCCACATACAAGTCGCAGAAATGAAAACTTTAACTTGTTAGTATAGAAGCACTTTGCTGTTTCAGCATAGTGTCTGGCATCTTATCTCTTATCTTGCTGGTAATGTTTGCATTTTTCTCCTTTCTTCTGATCAGAATGGGGCCCACAGTCAAGAGGGTGTGTCAAAGCTTGGTGTCCTTCCCATAGTACACGTTGTTCTAAGAAGTATGTGGTACTTTATGTTAGAAATGCTTTCCGCTGTTACATTTTTTTGATGGGACTGGCCAATCAGATATGTGCTCTGAGATTGCAGTGAGGTATATTGTGATATCATCTTCAGCTGCAGTTTCTTGTTGATGTGATGAGCCGAGTTTCTTGTGCAATGCTATGGTTCTGGGAACTTTAGTTCACTGGGCTCATGTGACCTGTGCACGACTGAAGGAGAGGTACACTGCAAGTCAGGCCTCAGTAATCTATACCATCAGTTAGGTCTTTGAAAGTCACATGGTCTCCAGGGCCTTGTTTTCTGACTAATACAAATACAGTAATGCTATACAACCAAAGTGCTTCTCATTTTGCAGAATACCCTCTTGTTGCTTGTTGGTTTTCACTGGTGCTGCTATCAGACGTGTATCAAAACACTACGAAGGATATTGGCAGTTATGCTGTAAGACACGAGGTTTGACACCACCCGCGTGTCACAGTCCTGGGTATCAGTCCCTGCTACTGACAGGAGCATTGTGTGGCTCACCAAGCTAGATCATCACAGCCGGGCTTTGCATAGGGAGCCGGGCTTTGCATAGGGAGCGCTGGTTCTCCTTGCGTCAGACGTGAATGCGGCTGGCCCACGTGTGGTCCTGTTTTCAGGACATGGTTTGTGGCCGTTCCCCCTGTCCTACAGTCCTGGGCCTTCCTGTCCTCATTGCTGGTGCACGTCCTCGTACCTCAGAATCTTGTAGAGGACCCAGTAAAAAATATTAAAGAGGAGGAAGGCCAGGGGGAAGCCTGCTCGGGAGATGGTGTCGATTTTCTTTGCCCTGTCGACAAAGAGCTTCTTCATCTCCTCCGGGCTTCTTGCTGTTGCCTGGGCCGGATTTTGGAGGGAACTGCTGTTAGCGGCGATGGCCCCGTCCTTCGCCGTGCTGCAGGGGACTCCGGTGTTGAAACTCTGCCGGCCCTCGCGGGATTCCCCCTCCTGTGATGTCAGACACGACAACAACTTGTACCTTGTTCGTCCATCACCAGACTTTAAGAGACTTTTAGAACTAGCAGAACCTTTTGGAAATCTGAGAGTCTTCTAGTCCCAGTTAACATAAATTCACACTAAGTGTTTTGGAAACATCTTAAAATAACAGATTGCACTTTAAAGCTTTGTTTTATGGCTATTGTCCATATTTATTGCCATTTAAAGGCACTCAGTGTTCCAGTCCACTTTATGGTGTAAGAACATTTTCAAAGTAGATTTTACATCTGATGCTTATTTACGGCAAACCTTCATATGAAGACAGGGCTTTTTCCTTGAAATGCATTTCACTCTAAGAGAACCTGGAAACATCCTGAAAACAAGTATAAACTAAAATAAAAGTTACCTGCAAAATAAACAAAACTAATAAATATCTGACCCATATGCAAATATTTGTGCAAGACGAAAATATGACCATAACATGGCAGACGGAAAAGGTTTTCTGTACATGAAATCACCATGAAATGGGTGGAGAAGAGTGAGAAAAACAGAAGGAGGACACAACTTCATAGCAATTTAAATTAAAGATGAGGACAAAAGGCAAAGCATTAGCATGATGAAATGGGGGGGGGGGTTACTTCATCAAGGCATTATTAGAGAAAGAAACACGTTTAGATATATGGCACTACTGCAATGATTACATAAAGACATGTTACTGATTTGAGGCAAACTTAGGGTTACCATATTTGGTGAGGCGAAGAAGAGGATGTGACCGGGGATCAGAATATTAATGAGTTTTCCCATTCACCAGCCAATCAGGTAGTGCTTGTCTCATAGATATTCATGAGTTTTCCCATTCACCAGCCAATCAGGTAGTGATTGCTCTTATATATTAATGTTTTCCCTAACCATCCTGTAAAATGAAAATTCACGTAACCTTACAATTAACTCTCTTTTTACAATCTACACACAATTGACACAATATGGGTGTGCAAGTCTTTTTCTATGAAAGTTACGAAACACTAAGCTAAAGTTTGTTAAACTTCAAGCAAATGACGCGATTCATTGTTCACGCAAAAAGAATGACGAGGTGTGAAAGTGCCAATGATTTCCAGAATTGACTTCACTCGTGGGCAGCATGACTCGCAGGGATGTGCATATTGTTTAATTTTTAAACGTGTGCATGAGCCTTGCAAACGTTGTGTGATGATACTAAATGGCTGCCGTATATTGAAAATTGGTGCCTTTTCCTTCACTTGGTTCTCCACTGCAACTTGCAACATTGGGTCATACAGGTTGCAGTGCTAAACCTGGATAAACTGAAAAACCGCCCAGGCAGGTGTCCAAAAATAGGATGTGTCTGGGGAAACCCGGACGTATGGTAACCCTAAATTAAGTACCAAACTCTAGTATCTACACACCAATCAAAGTCCTATGCCCGGCTGAGTAAGACTAGCCATCCTGGTTTTGACTCAGACGTTTCTCCGTACAGCAGCGTGTAGCAACTTCGGTCTTGCTCTGAGTGTGTGCTCCATGCATCTCGGCCTCTGCAGTGCCGTTATGAATCATGACTCCTGGAAAGCCACTAGCCTTTCTGCTCTCCCGCCATACAGGTTACTGAGAAAACGCCATGGATTTTTGTCTGGGGCAGCGTGTGGCTCAGTGGGCTGTGCCTGTAATCAGAAGGTCGCCAGTTCAAACCCAGCCTCAGCATGTCTGCGGGTCCTTGAGCAAGGCCCTTAACCCCCAGCTCCCTGGGCGCCCCAGCGGGTGGCTGCCCTTCGCAGACAGCTTACTCTACAAAGAGCAAGTTGAGGGAGGAGTAAAAACAATTTCCCCATGGAGACAATAAAGGATCAATTACTATTATTTTCAACATAAGCTGTTACTTGAATATTTCATTGACAGCTTCTCAAACTACATAGGAAACACATCACAAAAAAACTGACATTCTACTGTTCAAATATAATGTGTCAGCATTTAAAGCAAATCATGCACAAATTATTTGTTTTAGTCAGAGCTGCATACAATTTTTTTTTTTTTTACCTTTTTCTAAATTCCAGTTTTTTACAGCGTTACAGAGCCATCATATACGCATATTAAAATGAAAATCGTAGTGATTGGTGTTTTTAATCTTTTATGTAAAAAAATAATGCAAATCTGTTACAATACATTAAATACATTTGTAAATATGTGCCTGTGTAACTCCAGAGCTGAATTCCTAACCATAATGCATTGATTTGACAATAATGAGTGATAAATGAATGAGAATACTGGGGGGGGGGACGACAAACAACAGGGGGCCAGCCATCCATTACCCTGCTACAGGAGCCACGGATATGAGCCACTGGTCTGTAACTGGGCTCGGAACTTCTCGCGCCATTGGAACGCGGCATCGACTCACTGCTCTCATTCCCATCAAGCTTCCGATCAATGGCCTTCGGTCAAGGGGGAGGGGGAGAGAGAGTGAGAGGGAAGCAGAACAGAGAAGGGCTTTTACCTCACAGCCAAGAGCACGCGGCTACCTGACTGCGGACGTGATACCACAGTATATACAAGCGAAGCAGGCGATTGCTCAGAGACTGCAGGGAAGACGCCCTGATCTGGACCAGACTACATATTTTTATATTTATAATTCGAAGTGGTGGGTTACCCATAATCCAACGGGGTCAGCACCTTTCGTCATGGGTGCTGTAAAGGGGGCGGAGGAGGTAGGATGATTCCGAGGGCCCCTGAGTGACTGGGGCCCAGAAAAATCTGGAACCTAATTGGACTGGTTTTGTTGGCCCAGTATGATATGCTGTCACAGAGCCCAAAATCTCTAGCGGTGCCCTGGCCTCCTGTCACATGATACTTAAAACTTTGGGTGGATACAGAGCTTATGAGAGACTTTGCAGGACATGATCAAAAGGACAGCACTGAAATGCGTGGTCATATGAGCAGGTGTGGCCTGAGGGCGTGCTGTCAAACCAAAATGGATAAGAAGCAGGAGGAGACGTGAAGAGGGAGACGGCGTGAAAATTCTCGCCCATATCCAGTTGCTGACAGCTGACATTTTCTGGCGGACATCGGTAGGAGTGTGTCCTCACTTTTTTATTTATTTATTTTTACATAAAACTCTGGGGTGAATCTGATGTAGATCCCTAAAGAGTAAGTATTGCTTTCAGGCAAGTATTGCTGCTCTGTAGGTAACCGGAAAACAGTCTACTGATGTTGTCTTACTGTTAATCAGATATCAGATTTCACGTGTGCCGTGAGTCTCTGTCTAATCTCTATGTACAACCACAGGGTGTCCCAAAAAATGCATATGCCCTTTAGCAAACAGGAAATCTTGTTACAAACCCCAGCAGAGACCCCTTATATGCATATGGGCTGATGAGTTTCAGTACCACTAAGGACATGCTGATGAATTAAATCCTTTTGAGATCTCTGAGCGTATGTACAGTGCTCACAGTAAGTATTGGGATACTTGCTTAATTTTGTAGAAATGTTGCAAATTTATTGGTTTCATAACAAAAGTCTATTGACAAGCAATGTTTATCATGTCTGCCCATATCTTCCACACACATTTTCTTATCAAATGTCATATTTTTTTTGACTGACTCATTCAGTTCTGTTCTTGCCATTTTCTATTAATTGCAGCTGTAGTCACTGGCTCCCAAATGAATGCTAAATAAAAATGTAAAAATGTTTTGTTATTGTAAACGTGTTCCTAATAATAATTAAAATAAACGCCCAATTAGACTTCTTGTTAATGAACTTTCTTAGAGCAGCTTTTATATAATAAATTTGGATTTCAATTTATTACTACTTGAAATTAATGTTTTACTTAATACTACTAATTGTTTCTAATCTAATATGCTCTTCTTTAAACAAATGAATAAAGTTATGATTTTTGTTATAGAACTAATAAATTTGCAATATTTTTACTGAATTAAAACACTGTATATACGACTTGAGCGATGTATGATGTCTGCGTCCGCCTTTGCAGTTATCTGAGATTCCCTTTGTGAGGATGTCATATAGGTTAACAGAAAAGCAGGATTTTCCCTCACCAAGGATATAATCGCTCAATGTCGTTTCTGCCCACTAGGGGGCAAAATTATCCCCATTTTACACTTGGATTCCGTACAAAGGCATAAAGGATGTATCGAGGTTTTTTTGCGATTTCAATTTGCCGCTAAAAGCTCTGGTGAGAATGTTTAACTTCCGTTAAGTAACGCACGCCGTGTAGGATATTAAGCAGGAAGCCACAGCAAACGTATTTTTAACGACCACATTTCTTCAGCGGGCTGCAGTGCTGGAGGCCCCGATGTACCAAACTGCCTCCTCTGTGTAGGTGCCTGAAATCCCGCCGTGTGCTGCTGCTGTGCTCTTATGAGCGTCCAGATGTATCACTCTGCATGATCATACCCACCAGTCTCATTCGAAAAAATATCAGGTCCAAGAATTTGCTGCTCGTATGCCCTCTAGTGGCGTCGGACAGTACTGCAGGCAAATTACTAGAAGGCCAAATTGGTGCCTGTACCTATGTTCTGATTCTGCTGCTCCAGGGCCACTGTGCCAAAATCAGACCAATACTTAGCCTTTGGTATCTCCGCCTTCATCTTTCTCCTCTTGTTCACTTTGACTGAAAAGCATCACATTTTGTTGTATGAAACCTGTCCATCTAACAGCCGCACCCATTTCTAATGTTTGTTGCCCAAAGGCCCTGAAATCACAAATCCTTGAAGTCACAGCCCCTTTAACCAGTCCCCGAAGCAATGATCCAACTGGATCTCTGTGTCATTTGCTGACCTGTTGCAGCAGTCCATATCGCTGTCTTTTCCTTCTGGATCTTTCTAGAAGGGTCCTAGCTACCCAGCTCATATGTGTTCTAAAATGGTGCACAGGCTCAATTATGCCCATTTAAAATTAACATAACTTCTTGCCAGAACATTTGCCACTTATTTGAGTTTTCCCATTTCAAAATCTCTTTCCAGTTTCAATAAATTATAAAGCAGAGGTGACCAGTCTTATCCAGAAGGGGTCGTTATGTATGCGGGTTTTTGCTGCAACTCCCTAATTAGATTACTAATTAGAGGACTGATTGGCTAATGGGTCCTCAGACCTGGGTTTGAACAGCTGACCTACAGGTTATCCCAAAAACCTGCATGCACACCGGCCCTCTGCAGATGAGACCGCCCACCCCTCTTTAGTGATTTCTGTGAGTATTGGTTTTGCAGGAAAACCGAATAGTAAATCCGAGTGATGTTAAATTAAATTTGGATGTAAATCATTTGCAATATTTTGCTGAATAAGCATTTTAACAGTAATTATTGGTAATTAATTTGATATTTGAAGCCAAATACATTGCCTGCAGAGGGAGCTTATTCTGTGTGACCCCCCATCTCAACAGGGGCATGCGGTGTTAACGGGTCGTACCTTGTTCCTCCTCCTCCGGTGGAACCTCAACAGCTCTTTGTGTTGCCGGGAGACGAAGTTGACAGCCGCATATTCCAGCAGGGCGGAGAAGACGAAGAGTAAACAGACAGCCATCCAGATATCGATGGCTTTCACGTAAGACACCTGCAGGAGTGACACAAGAGAGTGGATGGGCAGTCAGTAACGCCGACTGTGTAACTAACCGAAGCGCATCACTCGCTGGTGAATCACTCGTTCACATTACTGAGTTCCAATAATAGACCCTTTGGTGTCACGTGACCTGGCTTACAGTTTTAGTCATGCTGTTTTTCATCAGTTGGATATCTTCCTGAAACAAATCAGGCTAATTGACTTCAAGATCACATTTTTCCCTACATAAATGGTTTGGTCATGCTCTTATCTGCTGTCAAAGGCTTGGTTCATGTGCACACATCAGGGCACAGTTCTCCATGAGGAAATTGGAGGTGGGGGCACCTTGGGGAGGGACGTCCTGGAGCCCGAACTTTGTGTCGTCATGGTGAGCACCGTGGTGATGCCGAGTGCCACGCGGGCCGGAGCAGCGTCCATGTTGATCCAGAAGGAGACCCAGGAGAGGATGACGATGAGCAGGCTGGGGATGTACATCTGGATCAGATAGTAGCCCATCTGTCGCTCCAGGTGGAAACGTACCTCGATGCAGGTGAACTTGCCTGGGCGATAAACGGAGACGGGCCCCCCGACCGGAACCACATGAGGAAACCGGGACATTGTGAGACCCTTCCCTCTCACCCACAGCGGGCCCCCAGGCAGCGAATGAAAAGCTGAAACCTCGAATCTGAGCTGTGTGTTTGGGAAATTTCAGGCGCTGTTGTGGGACGCACGCAGATTCGCATCAAAGTCGCGGTTACATAAGCGAGCAGCGGCCACGAACCCAGACGATACGTGACTCTGGGGAATGTATGCCTGGCCTGGCAGCAGATGGCGGCGCTGCCTTGTCACTGCAGTCCTGGGTGAATAAAAAAACACTCAGGCTTTCAGAGCCTGCAGCCCTGGGGCAGTAAGGGTGGGGGGGGTGGCTGTCACTTGGCTCGGTCTGACCTGGGGAGATTGCACCTTGACAAGCTCCTGATGAGATCCGGCGTGACTGGTGACCCGGTAATAGGGTGCCTGGCCCCTTAAGGGGACCTCATAAGAAAATAAGTGAATAAATAAAAGGAAAAGGAAGATGATTTTCCTCTCTGGGGGAAGAACGTCAGGACAGTGCGCGTGTATAGCCGGCTACTTACTGAGGCCTCAGTCTCTGGGCAATCGTGGCCTGTGGCCAATGCAAACTGTGACGCATCACAGGGAGAATAACAGGGTTTCCACTTCTGTGATGGCCCTCCCTCCACTGGAGGTCATGACTACATGTCATTGAAAGGCCGGGGTCAGGGTTGGGTTAATGGTAATGTTAACGATTTCTGTAAAATAAGCTTATAAATCAGTATCAGCTGCGGCATCAAGAGAAACGTGAAATGTTGTTTATTAGGCTGGGAGTCGATTAAAATGAATTAATTTATGAATCGCAGTTTTCTGTGATTAATCGCAATTAATCTCACTTAATATTAAACTTTACAATCATAAATATTTATATGTTGAATCTTATTGTGGAATTAACACAAAGGGGGGTACATGGATCATTTTCCCAAACTCATTACCATAACATTAATTTTCTCTAATTTTCAAAATTAGTTAGAAGGCAGACTCAAATTATAAACTGTCAATTTTGCCTCTGGGATAGTTATTCTGTTAGCTATGTTACCATTTATTTCTGTAAACAAAACTTTTTCATCAAATCCAGGGCAAGAGTTACTGATATGAGAAAAAAATAAGAAAAATTAACCAAAAATTCAGCAAAAATATACATTATGTACAAATTAAGTTGTTTAATAACGTACATCTTATGCTGTAAAGTTGAAAGTTTTAAAATCAGTTTATATATTTTTTGTTACTGATTTTTGGTTACTTATTTGGGGAAAATGGTTTTAAAAATATTTCAAATTACAATATTTTTATCCAGTGTATGCCTCATAATTGTTTAAAACAAAATAATCCAGTAACATCAGCTTTCCCTTTGAAGCGCTAGCTGAATGTTTTGATTTTAGCTTTGAATTCTGTGATTCTGTGTAACATCACAACCTTGTTTAAAACCACAAATATTATAGGGCTCCTTTAAAACCTATGTTCATACTATTCTTCCCTTTGGGCAACAACAAACCGCATACATCAATGCGATCAAAGAAATATTAACACGTTATGACTTGAAAATGAATGCAAGGCGTTAACGCAATAAATCTCCCAGCCCTACTGTTTATATATCCCAGTAATTACTATAATGGCTGGGCATGATCGGCAATCACAGGGTTTGATTACGGGATTTACAGCATTTCTTAAGAAGTACAGCAAAGAAGTGAGGAGGCTCTTTGGGTGATCAGAAGAGGTGAAGACCCTAGATAGCCTGTTGCTAACCCTCTTAACAGCAGGAAAGGTTTCATGCGCACAGGGAGTTTCGACTACGCTTCCACTTGGGTGACAACAGTAAAAGGAATTCAGTGATGAAGATGTTCCTGATATGCGGGTGTTAGGATATTCAGTGTCCATGTAGAAATAGGAGGAGGGCGGACATGTATAGGGGAGCATTACTTAGAATAAATCCATAATTAAAGAGGAAAGGGGTTGGAACACGCTTTTCCAATTAAAAAATCACAGAGCCTCACCTTCAAAGCCCCTTCATACAACAAAATAATTCCATGCATGTTTTTTTCCCCCTTATTTCGAGGGAAACATTTCCCTGATTGGTCATAACCCTGCGTAGTGGAGGCTGCATGGACATGGAACGACTTCTGAGAAATGGAAGGTGCTCTGCATTATTTACCCCTGACAAACAGACACCATATTCTCCATACCATCCATGAGGATGTTCTCATGAATTTATACTTCATGGTGAAAATAAACAAGTCTGCTAGCTTTGCACTGCGTCTCCCGAAGCTAGCAGGCCCGGGCAGCAGAGGGTCCAGCCTGCTCACCTGTGTTGTAATGCTTGGTGCAGTAGCGGAGGTCCGACTCGTCCTTCAGGATGAACTGGGGCAGCGTGAGTCCCTCGGCCACCTGGACTGGTCCATTCTTCTGCCACTCGAAGATCAGGTCATTCATCGTGTAACCAACTGGGGGGGAGGGCACGGATGGGTCTGACCATAATGAACTAAACTACAGGCTTCTAAGAATCCGTATCATCTGCAGTAAATACTCACCGACACACTCTTATTGCCCAGAACAAAACAACTTCATTGTTAACCACAAGCACCCCTGTGGTTTTTATCAAACAGGTGTCCTGAATTGGACATGCTAAATCCACAGCCAATGTCAACTGCTTCGCCTGAGCTCAATTCACAAATGTAATCTCCCTTTCCTCGGACAGGAAAATATGCAGCCAGGTTTTCGCAATATTTCAACGCGCTCTCCATACTGGCTTCATAATGTGAGGACCAGACAGCTTTGCCAATTGCGGTGCGTAATGCAATAACGCAAGGCCTTCAAATGAAGACAGATTATCTCTGGAAGCACTAAACCGCGCTAGCAAAACATCCCCAAGCTTGTAAGTGCACTGCAAAGGAGATGGCATCTAAAAATGTTTAAATAAATCATGACAGATGTAATTATAAAGAGCTTTTGTTTCTTTAAATAGCCATGCAGCCCATTTCTAGCTCCTGGCATGTGGGAGAAGCTGGTCACCTCCCATTAGCGGCAGCACCGTGCCACTGGCTTGATGAAAAGTTACTCCAGCGAGGGGGATATGGGCTCTTATCTTTACTGTGGTGTCAATGATCCTTGGCATGGCAGGACCGGAACAAGGCTGTACTTTCACAGGTCTGAGAGATTCCTGTCTGTTCTCATAATTTCTGTAAGATATTTTGTACTTGTTTTGTTTTCCCCTAATCAAAAGAGAGGACTTTGTGCATTGTTTTTTCTTCAGCGGGTACAAGTCATCTAATAAACATGGCCCATGCAAGCAGCGATGACTTAAAGAATCTGTCAAGCAACGGAATCGGAGTGTAGTAGATCGATATCAGCGGTCTGCTGGACACCCCACTGGTCATTATACAGATACAGCCCCCCCCCACCCCACCCCATGGCACCCTCAGTTACAAAATACCACATGACTGCTGGCAATACGGCCTTCCAGGTCGAGACGAGCGAGCACAGGTGTGGCAAACTCTCAAAGCATCTGGAACAGATACTGAACCAGCTGGGAGGGATAGGGGTCCTGTTCTCCAGACCAGACATGGCCGACACGGCCAGCTTGGATCTAAACCACTGCTAATGATTCAACATTACAGCTGGAGGTAAAACCTCCATGCCATGAAGAGCTCATGAAATTTGCAAGTGACCTCATCGCCGCCTCCAGCGGGAGCCTGCGATTTCAGGAGCTGCTGTGCCTGCCCCCTCGTTGTGGAGAACAGCCCGAGACCCGAAGCTTACGTAACCGGGCTTTTTGACGCTGACTGGAGCGGAAGCGTAACTGGGTACTCACAGCTCTCCAGCTGCATGATGCACGTCTGCACGTCCATCGGGAAGTTCTTCAGGTCCATCGGGCAGGAGAGCGTCAGGGTTAGTCTGGGGCAAACAGTGTGGCGGCAGCAGGTGCAAAGACATCAGCTTTATTTGTATAAACACAGAGCACTAAAAAAACTGTTTATTCATGCGTCGGCTGCAATTAAAATACCAGTGCATTTTATGCAGAGAACACTAAATAGGGAGAATTACTAAGGGGGTGACAGTTGCAGATTATAGGCTTCTTAAAAATAATATCTGAGCTTTTTAAAGGTAAATCTGCAGTCATGTGGCATTCCTGCTACCATCTGCCTGCATGGTAACAGCCGTCGCATGTAAAACCGCACCAGTGAAGCTGAACGCACTCTCAGGGCATGTAATCCATCTTCCCTATTTATATGTCAGCGGAACACATTTCCAGATGTTACATGGGAGTCCAGGTTAACACCTGCCCAGGACAAATAATCACTGAAGAGGAAATCCTTTCTCCTACCATGTTCCTCTGAGAGTGAGCACATTGTGATTTTGCAAAGTTCGACGTGTCCCTGTTTGAATAAGGGAGGGGCTTGTGTCTCACTTCTTTAGCCAATCACAGTCTTCGTTATATGACGTCACCACATATTGGGCCATTTATTTCTCATTTTCAAATTCAAGGCATCAAGGCATCAGACCAGGGGCAGCATGTGGCTCAGCAGGCTAAGCCTCTATGCTGGTGATCGGAGGGTTGTTGGTTCAGGCCTTATTATTTTGTAATTATTGTATTATTATTATTATTACCATCATAAAATAAAGATGCACCCTTACATTGCTCTGTACAGCCTTTGCTGGTTTCCTATGTTTTGTATCTACAACACGTCCCTTAACAAAAGGCATACACAATAAAACTGGTACTTTTGAAATCTGTGCACCTTGCCGCTTAAGAGAAAACACTGGCTAATTAATGTGGTGATCTCATAGCATGATGACTGTGATTGGTTGAAGAAGAGAAACATAAGCCCCTCCCCTTTTGACTTAGGGACATGTTGATCTCGGGCAAAATTGGGACATGCCTGTGAGTGACCATACAACCCTGGGTTGTCTCTTAGCAGATGTTGCTCCTGTAGAGGAACATGAACTGGTTTAAAGGGTACTTGGAGATTTGTCCGTTATTAAAGTAAGGAATCCAGCATAAGTTGTTAATTCGACACACTCTCCTCATGCGGCAGCCAGATAAAAGCCTAGAATTTACGATAAAATACTTCTGCCTGAAAACGACTGTGGCCACTCTTCAGGATGTGTTTTGTTGTTAGAGAGTGGTGCCCTTGCTGGATGGGCGTTAATGGTTAAGTGAACATTGTTTGTGATTCAATGAACAGTCATTGCCCCGTGGGCAATGTTAAAATAGTGTGTTAAAGGATTGACGGCGCGCTCACCTTATGGAGTAGAGGACATTGCCGTTTTTGAATATCCTCAGCAGCTTGTTATCGGTGGTGACCTCGTGGAAGTGTGCCCCCTTCTCATTGGCGAAGAACAGGTCAGGCTTCCAGATGGAATCCAGCATGGAGGGATCCAGGTCCAGGGAGTCATCTGGGTACTCGCTGTAGGCCAGGCGCGGATCGTTCCATTGCTGCCGGAGGAAGATGTTCACCCGGTAGTCCTGAGGATGTGACTAGATGTCAGAGAAGTCTTTCGAGGAAGGAAATCACTTCCAGATGCTGAAACAAACCAGAACTTCTGGTCTTCTTTGTCAGAGGATGTAATGGTTAGATCCTTCAACGGGTGTTAGGAACTATGGTCCTCGCCAGCGGCAGAGCGTGCTGGTTTAGTTTAACCTCTCAGGGGCATGATTAAAAAACCTGGAAACTGTACCAGCAAGCTGACCCTGAAATTGCAGATGTTGTTGTTCATGAAGATTCCAGGAGCTACTTATAAAGATTATGCAGACAGCAAGTCGTCTTATCAGGTATTTTCAGATGCGGATCAATCTCGCAGAAAGCGAACTATGGAAACCTGTACGAATGCTATTTTCCTGAATTGCCTCTTGAACCATATCGCAGGATACCCTCAGGCCTGTTTTTGTGGCATGGAGCAGAATAGGTTCGACCCATTTGGGTCAAGGTCTGAGGCAACTGAAAACAGAGAACAAAACAAATATGACTTTCAGGACTCCCCACAAATGAACCGTGACTGCAGTTGGTTCTGACCCAATAACCTGCCACCACAGATTTACCCCCCAACAGTAGCCGCATGCCCTTGTATCATTCATTAGTTTTCTTTCATTTAGCTGAATTTTGTAACATTAAATTGAATTTTATGTAGATCTCCCAAGGTTAAGAAATGCTCATAAAAAGCTATAAAAACCGGGACAATGGAGAATCTAACATGTCTCATTTAACAGCTTCCGGATACAGGGACCTTACTGACATACCATCACTATATAGAGCTCACATTTTGCTCTAGATTTTGTTAAAATCCAGAATAGAAGCTCCAAACCATATTTTAATTACATAGTTAATTTGTATTGCATAATGAAAGCAGAGTACAAACAAAATGCAGGTTCAGTTTCCCGAAAGAGCCAAGGTGAGAGAATGTGGAGTGCCCCTGTGACAGACCCTCATGAAGAATCAGGTTAGCGACTGCAGACCTGCGTTAGTGATTTTGTGGGACTTATTTCCTTTCCTTGTCAGTGGAGGTTGGGGCTGGAGATCTGTCCTGGGGGCGACTACACTCATCAGCCCTTGGCTGAAAGAGCTGCTGAGGGCTGAGCTGAAGCAGCAGGTCATGGTATAGTTCCGCTGTCACATGACATGTCAGGGGTCAGGCTGTCACATGACATGACAGGTGTCAGGCTCAAACAGAGCTGTGGGTTGGGCAGCTCCCACCAGTCCTGGAGGGGGTGGGCTAAAGACCCAGCCTAGAACTCGTTACATGCATCAGCTATTCCCAATGGTCCATGTCCACCTCGTCTTCCCCATTATACCCAGGATGTTGCCCAATCTCAGGGGGAGATGACCTCACGCCTGCTTCTGGTGTGAAACCATCAAATGCAGGCCAAAGACAATCTGCTAATGTTGACACCCACTATGACCATGAGTGGCAACTGCATCTCTGAGCTCATCAATGAGTAATCCTCTCAATTTGACTGCGAACGCTTATGTGTTCCACAACTTCTGCAAAGTGTTTTCTTTGGTTAAGGCCAGTAGTACGTCTCAGCTGGTAGTGTCACCAGAAGCTGTCCTCAGCGGGAACATACCATTGTTGTTTCTGCGATGGAGCCGAAGCTGTTGATGAAAATGTTGCAGGATACATTCACTGGGGGGCCTAAAGAAAATCAAAGCAAAGTGAGAGTCAGAAGGTGACAGGGCTGGGTGATGTGGGGGCCAGTGAGGGAGATACGGTCACAGGAAGCTGACAGGGAGGTACCATTATTTTAATAAGGGTAGGGGGTTTCCGGGCTGCATTCTATATCTTTTTTTGTCAGTTGTTTGGTTGCACTGCCTTGTCCCAGTTTTTTTTTTTTTTTTCCAACATTGTTTTTATTTATTTTGTTACAACGCCCACATGAACCTTACAGAATATCAAGTTATATATCATTACAGAGCATATTCCCCACCCCTACATTTATCAAAAAGGAAACTGCATTTGAACAATAATGAATTCTAAATAATATACACAAATATAAGAGATTAAATTCCTTGTCCCAGTTTTATGTTTCTTTCTCTGCTGTCTTATCCTGGGTGCCCCCCGACCCCTCCCCTCCCCACATTTAGGCACAAAATTATGGTAAATTCTAAACATCAAGTGCCATGTGGGGGGAATTCATCCATTCATTAGCAATGTAACGCATAAACTTGACAAACTCTAATACAAGTGGAATGCAGAAAATATATGGCCATACCTTTGAAATTGGGTCTGATTCTGGCGTCGTAGCCGGAGGTCTTCCCCATGAGCTTGTCGAGGAAGTCAGATGGTGACATGGGCACTGCTCTCCCGCGGGGGCTGTCTGGGTCCTTAGATGCAACTAGGCTGCGACAGAAAAAGGAGAGACAAACTGAGGACACACACACACACACACACACACAAAGTCGGGGGGCAATTTCACCGCAGAATGAGGTACAAATAATCTTCTGGCAGGTTGTATCAGTCACTTTTGGTCTTCAATGAAGGATGTTCCCACTTACTTAGAAGGTATTCTGGGCTGTGTCAAAAAGCATTTAATCGTTTACTAAGCTATGAATTACTAAGTCAGGTGGCTACACATAGTATTGTGATGTTTTTTTGAGTATTTTGTTTTATCTTTGCACACAATGGGACACGATCGGTTACATGTCGTAATGAAAAATTTAATGCAGCCTATTAAATTTATTATTAGGTGCTGTCAAGTTGATGTCAGCTCCCAGTGACCAGAAAGGCTAGCCTTCTGCAGGATGTCCTGTCGTCTCTCAGGCTCTTCAGTCTTCCATGCTCATTACTGCGATGAGCACGAATTTTAAATTCCCAGTGTGTAATGCAAATTAAAACAGCCACATAGCCTTGTTTCTGAGAAAAAAAAAACAAAAAAAAAAAGCTATATTTTTAGGATGTGCCATTCCGACAAGCCAATAAACGTGTCACAGGTGTTCAAGGGACACTTTTACACCTGTGAAAAAGACCCCAAATTGGCTACAGAGAGCAATCATTTTGTTCATTTCCCTGCTGTGTGACGCATGCTTGTTTAGTTTTTTCCCTGTGGACAGTCAAGCCAGAGCCCCAGTGGGGTAGCGCGTGGGGCTATCATCACCATTTCAGCCCATCTCACACACGGGATGGGGATAGGGGTTTGGGTTGGTCCCAGCCAGACGATGGTGAAACTCTGCCTAAGGGTGCAGCACAGTGTGTGGCACGACTGCTGGGAGACCTTTTTTAATTTACTTTTTTCAGATGAATAAACGCAGCCATCTTAGGGTTTGTTTGTTTGTGTTAGTGTTCAAGATGGAGCAGGCAGCACAGAGCTCACCATGTGAACCTCAGGGTTGATCCCCGAACCCCTGTGTGCAACCTGAGCGATTCACAAGCGAAGGCTTTGAATAGCACCTCTTTTTGGAAATAAACATTAGGATTATGACACTGACGAGGGAAGAAGGCAGAGTTATGGTGAGCAGAGAGAGCGGAGACATGATAACGGAGGGGAAAAGACTCTTGGGTAATGAAGACAGCAAAATCCCAGCGTGCCTAGCTTTTGCCTTAGTAATTTCAGCCTATGCCGTGTTTCCGCCCTGTCCTAGCTATTTATCTCAGTTTTGGGAGAAAGTCATTATTTTTAAAGCCCTGCTCTTTTTAAAACGTGCTTTTCAAAAGCATGACTGCGAAGTCTTTCTATTTTCCTGGGCTGGAGACTAACTTCTGTACAGGGAAGGGCAGCACCGGAAGCTCTGCTTTTCGGAAAATGGCATTGCCTGCCCTTGTCTTTCAGCAGCTGAAGTGATGTTAGACCTGCCTGACCAAGAAGAAGGGAAGCTAACTGCTAACTGCCCCAAGAAGGTGTGGTGCTTCATTCACAGTAACGTAGCTTTATTTGTTTTGCTGTTTGTCCCAAGTTGTAAAGCTGTACACTAATATTTAGACTCACTTTAGAATGTAGTTTGCTGAATCACTTTTGATCACATAGTGACCTAGACTATATGCGGAAAATGGGCAAATAGCAGATTCTGACCTGATCTGATGTTTCCTCACTGTTAGTAAGCAGCTCTAATCCTTGAGTAGGGTGAAGTAGGAATGTCTGTTGGACTAAACACTCCAATGATTCCTTCACACTGTGCTTGCAATAAAAACAAGGGCTTATAACCTAATTCCTAACCCCTCCGGTCTTAGTGCCTGGACTGCTTGTCTCTCACAGCAGAGGGGAGCAGGGAGGCTACTGAGGCAGGAAGGAGGCCATTCCCACAGAGAGGAGCTTCTCCATCGGAACACAATCATTAGCATCCTTAGCAACAAACTAAAGGTAACATTCTGTCTTAAAGGAATAACCATGACAAGCACATTTGGCAAGAGCAACGCAATTAAGCAGTAAATAACTTCTCCCTTGTAAGCGGATAACCTTGACCCATGTATGCCTGCTATGCAGATGTTCAGATAATGTGCAGCTGATGTGCTGTGGCTGCTCCTCCCTCCACACGCCATACACTGCGCAGGTGACATGCCCCCTCATAACGGCACCCTGCCAAGCATAGAATAGGTGCAAAGCGTCGCCCAGACGTGGATCCACTCTGGCTATGCCAGCAGGAATCCTGTGAACCATCCCATGGAGAGATTCTGCATGCATTTCACATGTGACTGTTTATCTCCCCAGATCTTGGGCCAGCATCAGGTCATCTACCTGATAACCAGGGATGAACATAACATAAGTGCGCATTTACCTTTAAAAACGACATGTGTGACAATCGATTGTTTGTATTATAATCGATTTTATGTGCATTTGCGCTGCTATGACAAGAAAATACCTTGCATTTTAACCTGTATACCGCAAATGATGCAGAGTTAGCATACAAAGATTAAAATGCATTATATTTTGTTTTCATATCAGCGCAAATGCACATAAAATAAGTACGCATTTCTGCTTTTACAAACAATCGATTGTCGCACGTATTGTTTTAAAAGGTGAATCCGTACTTGCGTACCAGTTATGTCCATCCCTGCTTGTATTCATGCTATAAGACCATGTTTAAAAACAAATCTGTGGGAAAATATAACATTATGCTTAGTTCTGTATAACAAATACAGTACACAGGCTATAAAATTAAAAAATAAAACAGAAAACCAGAGGATCCAGCCCTAATCAAATATGGACACCAATTTTCTAAGGAATCACTCCGTTGTATGTGTTGCCGTGCAGCCTTATCCTCAACATGATTTTAATGATGGGAAAAGACTTTAAATTGGTCTGATCCATGCAGCTTTTTTCCTAGGATAGTTCCTGGATAATGTAGAGGTAAATGCCAACAGAGCCTGTGTGTTTCTGCTCTTTCTCGATAAGGCTGACGAGACCTTCCACACTGTATGCACTCTAGGTCCCAATCTAACACACTGAGCGTGAAGGAAAAGAACAAAAACTTCTCTCAAGTAGGAGGAACAGAAAGTAGCACTGAGGCTTAGTGGCTGTTTTTGTGCTCAAATAAGCCTCCTGGGGATTCCTGCCTCAGCCAAACAGAACCTCGCCCATCGTTTCTGCTTAAATGTATTTTCACTCTTTCTCTGTGATGCAGTTTTGTTACAGTGCAGATGTAAGCTCAGCGGCCGAAAAGGGATGTCGGTTTGGTTACATTGAATGACCTCCCAGTAATTTTCACCTAGGAGGCTTAAGCCAGGTCCGCCGTGTACCATGCATCAGTAACACATGCAGTTTTTACATTGCGCCCATCCTTTCTCACTCATTGTATTTTATGCCTTCTTGAGCCATGCTGTCATTCTGTTTGGATATTTAATGTAATGGATATGGTGATGGAAATGGACTGAGATGCTGTCATACCAATTCAGTCAGTACTTCTCATTTTCTTTGTAACAGCCTGCTGTGCTCAGAAACTTCACTGTCACAAATGTAATGTATATTTTTTCCAGTGGCTAGTAAAAAGTAAACAAAAACCGCATAGGAAATTTACAGTAAACCAGTTTCAGGGAAAAAAACGTCCAGTACTGCTATCCTGGGCATTCTAAAGTTATGGAATTGGACAGCCTGTCTCCGTCTTGCATGTACGTTTTGCTGAGAGGTCATTCAGATGCAAGTTGCCATATTCTCCAGTCAGAGTGCATTGAATAACCCATTAAAGAGCAGGGGACGTCTGTGGACAGATGCCACAGCGTTCATCTGCAGTCAGACATGGGACATTGCAAGACCTGGAGAAGACAAGATGGACAGCAGGACAGTGTGAGGACAGTGTGCCATGTACTGTAAAAAAACAGTCAGACATCTGTGTTTTTAACTTAACATTAGAGGCTGTGTATGGGGGGGGGGAATCATAAGAAACGAACATTTATCTCAGACAGATCTTTTCCTTTGTTGAAAGATTTGTCTGGAGCCATTTACAGCAGGCACGGCACACAGGCATGTAACACAGCCACAGAGCATAAGTTGCACAATGTTCTTGAGTGTTAAGCTTACAAGTAGCAATCGCTATTGCAAATGTCTATGAAACAGAGGAGAATCAAACATGAAAGTTCAGGTAGTGGTCTGTGGACTCTATGCCCCAAAGGGTCTCCTAAGCAGTTAGAGCAGATTAGCAATTAAAATACTCCTTATTATTCATATATTATCCCCGTATATTTCATATATTGTATGTATTATTCACTCGTTCCTATTCTACCCTGTTAAGTCTTGGATGACTTGATGAAAGCTGTCTACAGAAATCATCCGGAGACGAGTGAACTTCTGTCCTCTCCTTCACTTCCCTGGCTGCATGGGTGTAGTGCTTCTTGTTAAAGCTGGTATTTTATGCCAGCCATCATCCTGCACTGACAGCATATGCCAGCATTGGCGAGGGTGGTATTCGGTCTGTCTGGCGGAAGCACAGATTGAGACGATCATATGGACTGAGGGGTGATCTTTATGAGTCACCCTGCCCTCTCACCTTCGCTGTATGGAGGTGAGGATGTCCGGAATAATCTTGAGAGTTGCTTTTCTTTGTTCTTCTTACCATAGTTCCTGCTTCATAAATCTGTCATCAACAGAATAATTAACTTGCTAGGCTGTTTGGGGCTCTGGAGCTGAAAACCACTAGCATTCCACACATTCTTAACCAATGAGTGACAGACCTTCCTGTGAACCCTGCCTTGACCCCCAGAAGGAGCATAAGCCCACTGACCCTTTGCCTACTACACTATCTCTGTGTTGTTCACGTCAACTCTTGGGAGTTGACAGAACCAGACGGGGCCAGTGGGGAAGCAATTGAAAATTGCATCCAAAACCCTTAGAGTGCAAATCATACCTGTCCCCCCCCTACCTCACCACTTTCACCCATTTTTTAATGGCTTGCTTCCTTCTTGGTATGTAGTAGCACAATGAGGTCATTTTAGTGCTCCGGGCGGAAAGGGGGATGTTGTGGACTCAGACACCAGAACCCAAGAGTGGATAAATTGCCTGGGACAGGCATGGGGAGCTGGTGCTCAGGGGTCACAGGGTGTCCTGGTTTTCATTGTACTTTGTTTACTGGTCAATTGAAGATCTAACCTTTTTTGATGTTCTAAGCATAACTGAAGGGAACTCAGAAGTACCACAGCCTCAAGGGCTGGAGTTCCCCATACCTGCAAGGGGCCGCATCCCACTGCACAAAGAGTATCCACTCCAGTTTTAATGACTCCATAAGCAGGACTAATGCCATAAAACAGAACATAAAACCCCCACTTTAATCTCGGCACTTCTCATCTGAAACGGTCTTGTGTGATCATTGCTTATTGGCTTAGTCTGAGACAAAGGTTTCACTCACATTTTTTATCAGCGCCAGCAGACTGGTTTTAAATATCCCTTTCTTTTTTACAGCAATAATTATCGTGGGATTAATTAGAACCAAATGACCAAATAGGAAAAGATGGAATGATGATGCTCCTGTTAGCAAATCACCTGGGCCAAGCTCTGCATGGCTGGATTTTATGCAGATATAAATTTCACATGTCAGAACAAACTTCTGGGACTGCTATTGATTCTTCACACAGACATAATTTATTCTATGGGCATATACCATATCAAAGCACCAATGAGAAATGACTTTATTCCTCAGTAGTGAGATACATTTGAAATTTAATTTAAAAAATAATTTGGTGCAAGACAATCATTTTTGGCTGGATGTCAATAATCCCAGATTCATGCCTGCTGCCAAGTCAACAAATCAGTGCCAAAAAGATGACTCATTGATAATGACCTGTCCTCGAAACACAGTTCTGGAGGAAGGGAAACACTGAAATGGTTAACTACTACAGACAGCATTTCATTCGCATCATTTTAGTTGCATTTGGCTAGCTGAAAGCCATTTGTCGGAAATGATCGCAAAAAAGGCAAAGCACGGGTACCAAATGGACAAAGGTAAGTCACATAACATTTGAGTCATATGGAAAAATACATTAATATTTTGAAAATTGTGTTATTATTATTATTATTATTCAAAATGATTGAAACGGCAGGTATTGCATGGCATGTTCTTAGAGATGCCGCTGAAATAATGGTGGTGCTGAACTGTCACTGCTCTCTCTCTTTGTGACAATATTGGATATGACTGCCAGGGGCATGTTTGCTCTTGTAATGCTGGATGACAAATTCTGCACGCTGGGACAAGCTATTGTGCTGTTAGGGGAAGGCCTACATGAGCAGTGAATTGTATCAGTAACTACATTTATCCATCTGTCCTTTTTTCAGCAGTCGCTTATCTAATTAGATGCTAGGTGATTCTAAGCGTATCAGTCTGATATATTCATAAGGAAGTGACACAGTGGTTTCATGCCTCCTGGGCTGTGGGTACAATTCTGAATTTGGCTCTGTGTGAGTGGGGTTTCTATATTCTCTCTGTATTCATGCGGGGTTCCTCAGGGCACTCCGGTTCCTCCCTGTAATCCAACAACAGGTTAACTGGTGTCTCTAAGTTTCCCATTGTGCATTGTCCTACAATGGGTTGGCCTCCAATGCAAGGCATCCCCTGCCCTGGGTTTTGTGGGATTGTCTGCTAACGTAAATTTGGTTCCCATTTTAAAAAGAATGTGGTATTTCTGTTTTGAATATAGTTGAACAGTGAGCTTCTTATGAAATGCCCTCCTTCTCTAGATACAGAATAACTTTAAGGAAAAAAAATTAAGCTGCTTACTTTAAAAAAAAAAAATGTTTTTGGCCGAATCAATGAAAAATATCTCAAAGGCTCACTGGGGCATTCAGAAATGGTACCAATTACTGTTTGATAGAAGGGACACACTAGCTGGTGACAGTCCAGAGGAAAGAGAGACTATGAAAGATCCATATTTTATAGATTCTTTGTAGATATCTCAGTAGCAGCTATTCAACATTCTGTATTTCTGCTGTGTGCAAAAACTACAAAGCTAGAAAATTTCCCTTTAAAAATAAATCATAGCACTTTTTTGCTTGTTTTTTTTTACTGGTGGACAGCAGCTGTGCAGGTCCAGCCAACAGATCTGATGAAGAATGCAGAAGTAAGTGCATGTTTATGAGTGACGACTCATAGCCACTGACGTCTTTTTATTCCTACATTTATTAAATGTATTCCTATACTAGATGTGATTTGTATTTAATAGCATTTACATGACATAAACACTACTTTTGTTTCTCAATACTCCAACAGTATAATTGAGTATTTGTCTTATACGCAGAAAAAACAATCAGAATAATCACAGATCACAGAGAAAAATACATAAATTGGAAACCTTTTTGGGTGGGGGGGTGGTGCCTAAAAAAATAAGGAGCACCTGATCTACAGCACTGAATGGCCAAAAACCAGGACCTGGAGTAACGAGAACAGACCACATGGCACTCTATCCTGGCTCTTATTTGGTGCCTGGGGGATTGCTGTTATCCACAGCCCTGGTTTAATCTGAATACCTTCTGGTCCCCTGGGGCTCCTTCAGCTTTAATTTCGACCAAACGGTTATCACTTCTAATGGTTCTGAGTCTCCCATTCCCTTGGATAAATGTAAACTGTCAGCCAGCTATTGGACAAACTATCAATGGAGCCATTCTGATGATGTCACCGCTTGGGGTTTCTGGTGCAGAGACAGCACTGGGTAACAATCAGGCCTTCTTAAAGAAGCGGTAGGCTGAAATCCCAAGTTAAAGGGAAAGCGTCGATGTGCCCTTTTGCCATTGTGTCTCGTATATGAACAGCTCCTTATCTGAAGAGACAAGGCATCCTGAAAACATGAACAGTGCAGTGATTGGGAATGGGGAAAAAAATGATGAACAGTGCAACTTTGCTTACCTCTTTACTCTCAAACGATGACAAATAAAATGCTGGGAATAAATATAAATCTAATATCAAAATCTAAATAACAAATGTTTTTATCTATTATCAATGCATGGCCTTTTAATACACAGTAGAAAACAAGGTTACTGAGCGAGGAAATTAATGCATTTATGAGTGCATTTACCATTTTTCCTGTTTGGTATAAATGTCTGGGGAAAAAAGACCATTTAAATGTACTCATACCCTAGCCTGGGGGTTTTCAACCCTGGGGGGTCCACAGAAAAATTGCAGGGGAACTGCAAAATCGTTTAGTAAAAGTTAAAAAAACGCATCCCTGACGCTGTCATGCACTCTACACAATGTGCGTCATTACCCAGCAGCACTGTCCATGGAGAAGTGAAAAGTAACAGGTAGTACAATGTACTGTTATAAGAATTCAGACCATAAACAACAGTTTACTATTATGAAGAAGATTGATTGAAATATGCCTCAGTCCTCTGGCTTCTGCTTGGAAACATGGGATCTCTATAATTTCAGGCTATTTTGGTATGCATAGCTGTTAGGTAATCGAAGTCCACACATTAGCTGTCACTTGGTAGAGCTTCACAGGCCACTCATTACATTTATTTATTTAGTAGACTTTCTATTCCAAGGAGACGTACCAGCAAGGCAGATAATACATCAGCATGCAGCTGTCAAGCAGCAAACATAGCTACAGCTAGGTTTGGCTTCCAATGACCTTCCAATGATCTTGTTAGTTGAGTGCCATTGTTAGCTGTTGGTACATCTTCACATGCTAGCTGTTAGCTGATGGTAGAGCTCCATATATTAGCTTTGTCATCTTGCAGGTCGAGGACCAGACTTTGGCGGATGTCTCACGGCTCACTTTTAAAATCGATTATTTGGACATTCATATGGCACATCTGGCCCTCAGTACACAAGAGGTAGCCTGGGTCCAAGCAACCAGAGGAGGTGAGACCAACTGATCAGATGTCTTGGTCCCTCTGTCTTGGTCCCTCCTCTTCTAGTTGCTCAGACCCACCTCCTGTACAATCTGATTGGTTATCTCTCTGAAATAATCATTTTTTTCTTCTGCCCTCAGAACATTTTTGTGTAAGTAAAACTCCCATAAGCTTTTAGTAATCTCTCACCATGGCATATTTCGGAGCAAAGAAATGTCCAAAAAAAAAACATGCCTGTCAAGACATCTAAGCTTGGTCAAAGCTAATAATAATGCCTTTTACAGATGTGAGAGAAATGCTTGGCAGTCTTTGTGAATAAATCCCTTGTAGCAATTCTGTCATAACTGTGATGCCAAGGACCTTTCTGATGTCTGAGTAGGCTCATACAATTGCAGTTATTACAAAACGTCCCAGGATGTTCTTTGTAGGATATATCAGCAACAGACCATAAATTCTTTCCTTGCAAAACATCTCTGTATTGTGGAGAGTCTGTCCCTGTCAATGGCATATTCCATAGATCAAATTCCTAAAATGCACTTTAGCAAAATGGGACATCAAACCTTCAGTTCAGCTCCAATACAAAAATACCACAGTGATAAAAAGACAGACATCAAACAGGCATATTTATGACACCTGCTTTTAAAACATTCTTGAAGCATCATAATGTCCATAAAATGGCAAAAGGCCTCAGTTACAATAGGGAAATAAGCACAAGGTACATCAACAAGGCTGTGGTTAGTGATTACAAACAGCCCTGTTGTAAACGCAGGACAGAGTGATACATGACCATTATCAGGAAAAACAGACACCTCCATAATATATAATCACTGCAAAACGCATTACACCTACAACTGAATTAAGCTGTCTCTACGCGATCCAGAGTGTGCATTTGTTTTCAAACATATCCCGGAGAAGACTACTTGTAGGGATGCAGAGGAATCCTACAAGAGAAAGGAAACTAAACTTTCATCACCAGTTTTTATTACTGCTGTTATAAAGGAATATTGGGCCCCTCGGGCTCACACTTACTGTGCCCAAAGCATGTAACTGGGACACAAATAAAGCAAATGTCAGTTCAGCAGAAGCATGAGTGAGACTGTCCTGAAAATGAATGTGTTACAGACAAATGACTTCAAAATGATGGATCACCACATCATCCATCAAGCACTGAAAACTGAGTCCGTGTATTAAATGGACTTATCTGAGAAATGGTGCTGCAATAATTACTGTTAAACCTTTATCGTCGTAAGATTTTGTTGCATGCATCTGATTTAGGAAGGACGATTTTTTTGATGATTATATAATCAAAAGCATGAACCTGTAAGACACACTATAAAAACACAAATCTGATCATAAAAGAAAAATAAACAATGATGAACCAACATTATAGTTAATAACTTTATAGGTTAGGAAGACTACTTGCTCGAACCAACACCACATCTGTACAAAATTAATGTTAAACTGTTAAATGTACTTTGCTTTACCGATCCTGCTGATTTTTTACATTTGGTCCACTATATCCACACAACTAAACACAACTGCTTTGAGTAGTATGTTAAATAACAAGCGTTAATGCAATCTACATATTAATGTTCTACTCATTTGCAAAATCTTTCTGGCACCAATTATCATTTCATGTAAGAAATACTGTTGAAATAAAGAATTATTAGACGCACCCAAGTTAGTATGAGGCATCGAGACGATCCATAAGGTAAACATGTCCCTTTCACCGTGAACTTCTTACGTGGTGATTGCCAATGTCAAAGCACTCAGGGGGGGGGGGCAGAAGCGACAGCTGGCGAGTTGCACCGAGCAGAGGGGCAGACACGCAGCGGCACCTGTTACGCTCCGGAGAGATGCGCCGGATCTCCGGGTAGCCGGAACAGACCGAGACCGTCAGCGCGAGCATCTGCCGCGCGACCCGGACCCCGGCGCGACATCACGCACGCAGTAGGGCTCGCGCTCCCACTGCTGTGACGGATCGTCGCGTGTCGTGAAATTACGGATCTCTTTCTGGATAATTGCGGGTCAGTGGAATTTCCATGAAAATTAATTAATGAGCGAGTTCGTATTGGAAATTACCACAGTCGATCTATTAGTTTATTGTTTAAATATAATTAAAGTTAAAATGTTTCATTTTTATTTCATTTATTTTATTTTAAAAGCAAGGCAGAATACGACCATGATGTCTGACAGTATGAAAACGAGACGCCGTACATGAAACTATAAGCTAAACGATTAAAATGGTCATACTTACTTACCTCAGTAAACCCGCTATTTCCCATGCGAAGAATCCCCAGACAGCTACAGAATGCAGCCTTTTCCAACTCATCTCAAGACTCTAGTAGTGAAGAAGCATAGCCACCACAAAAAAGTCTGGTCTTTAACAACACTTCTGGATTTGTGACTTCAGAACCCAGGACAGCGCCACAACTGTTCTGCCTTCAGTCCAGTAAGAGGCGCTTCGGGTGACCGCAAAACCACAGCGGCAGGCATATTCCACGCAGCCTAAATGTTTCTGAAATACGCGGGTAACTGCTAGGTAACAGCGGCGGTGGAATAACGCTCAAACAAGTGAAACGAAGGGGACGGCGACGGAGCAGCGCGGCGCAGCCCGGGCGCTTTTGCGCGCATCAGTTACCCCAGCGCACTTAGCGGTGGCCACAGCCAGATCCCGCCCAGCAGCGCGCGCCAGACTGACATCGCGTGCCTCCACTCGCTCTATAAATACCGCACGGGGCGCGCGAATCCCTCGCGCGGAGGTCTCGCTGTCGTTTGAAACGTCCGCGTGCTAAATAGTTACGAGTTTGTTTTATCCCTGGCAAAGAACGACGGCATAGTTAGTGATTAATAATTAGGCTTTAGCTTACATGTTGTGTTTGAATATTAAATAGAAAAATAGAATTTTAAAAATAAGGTTCACTGCAGTCAATTTGAACAGGTTTCCTTCTAACTGGAGCGTCACTGCTACTGTTTTGCTTGATAATGAGGACAATTCCAGAGCCTGCAGAAATTCTAGGATTCAGATAATAAGAAAATGGCATGAATATGAGCTACCAAAAGCCCCTTGCAAGATCCTCAGAACTGTTCGACGGCAGGTGCTGTGATTCGCAGACGGTGGGTGGGCTGATGGGAAAGATGGGATCTGACTCCCGCAGCCCCCGAGTACAGCACAGCTCTGGCGAGTTGTGTTTGTGGGAGTCCTTGCAGGTCCCTTGATGCATCACGCCTTTTTCTCAGGCGTGGATGTTTATGTAAAACAGTGTGTACCTGAGACATAAATTGGCCCACGCACAGTGACCCTCTACCTAAGTTCAGTGTCTGGATGCCAATAAACGACTATTTCTCAATTGATGGGCCGTGACAGGATGTTCTAAATTCAAAGAGATGGTTTATGTGTATTATAGAAGATAAGATGGAAGAGGACATTATCAAATAGAAAAGATGATATTTAGTTGCCTTTATTTGGATTAAAAGCAGCTGTTGGTTATTTCTATGCCGTTGTTCAAACTGATTTGTGTTCCCTAATGATTACTGATATACACTGTATATTGCTTGGACTTAATGGGTGGGCTTGGTGGGAGGGAATATGAAGAGTTCAGGGGGGAGGGGGAGCAGTTTCTGACTCCCATTTTAAATCAACTCCTCCAATTATAACAGCCCGTTCAGTCACGCGCCGTGAGAGTCCCAGTATCCTCCCTGTGATCGGAATTGATTCTCTCCAGCTGGGATAGATTTACAGCTGGTGGAGACTTCATTCCCTTGGACAGACATGTTTTAAAGGATCTGAAACTCCGCCCCCCCCCCTCCCCCCATGTGAAGGGCGAGGGTCCATCGTCTCACATTGTACGGACGCTTCAATAAAATAATTAAAAGCTAAGCCACAGCAAAAATCCATGCCATACACTCGCCATTATGCATCATTGGGTTTCGGTGTCCTTGGTTTGCACATACTGTAGACTTATTAGCCTTTGTGAATAGTATCATTCATTTTTAAGAAAGAACTTGTTTTCTTGTATAGCACTATGGGGTGATTCATTGTTACCCCCAGTGCAAGGCTTTAATCTTGTCAGATCTTAAAATCTGAGGTCTGGGCTTGTGTACATCAAACAAACTTGAAACACCTCCTCCATACACCTTCTGCCTCTGGGAGGCACTTGCCCAAAAATGGAGATTTCCATGTGATTCATTCTGCTTCTGTCCTCCACACTGGGAAGTGCGCATCCGTGTTGGTGTAAAGATAAAAGGGATTCCCCACTTCACCATATTTGACAGGACTGTCAGCCCTCACACAATAGCAGGGCCCTAGGACATTAGAGCTGTCAGACTACAGGTCCTGCATTATCATTTCTACAGGAGTAACAGTGGCTGTAAGTGCAGTGCACGCTACAGGCCTACAGACGGGATTAGATTTACAGTAAGTGTCATGCTGAAAGGTGAATGCCCCAGTTTAGTGGTGTCTCGTAATTAATCTCCCCTTGTGCTCTGCATACTAAAGAGCAGTTTATTAGGGGACGTCAGAGCTACAGCCGGATGGAGTGGAAGAGGTCAGAGCTCTTTGTCAGAAGAACGTCTCAGCCTGCATGGTGAAGCCCCCAGCTGCCCCTGCTGGATTCTGACAGCATGGGGGCATCATGGTCCAAGGAGGCCCCAGATCAGCTGATAACCAAGGTGATGATCAAAATCGTCGGCTCCAGTTTTGGTAAAAAGATATCTGTCTGACTATCTCTGATATTCTTTCACGGGTCGTGAGCAGCCAAATTAAGGTGTCTCTCTTCCATCTTTCCCGCCACGAATGGCGTGCTGGAGGGAACGCATGTCTTTTCCCATGCATGCGTGTGTGACAGATCCGCCGCTGCTGCGTGAAATCGCTCGGGACAGCTTCTGCTAGAGCCCCTGAAACCTCCATGGGCGCTTGCAGCATGGGTTTCACGCTGCGGCTCCTTATTCTCGCACGTCTTTCTGTGAAAAGGCCGAAAATTGAATTTGTTCCCCGCAGCACAAAGGCAAGACACCTCCGGCACTTTTCAGGCTAGACTCTAGTCCGCGCAGATGTAATTTTTCCTTCTCCTGCGGTTATTCGTGCAACGTTTATTGGTCTATTTTGGACTATCCTATTTTCATCTGGTCCAATTTGCTGCCGTTCAATGAATTTGTCTGGAGCACTGGTCTTCCTGTCTAATGCGTCCGCTGTGGATACAGCCAGGCGGAAGGCCTCACTAGGAGATGAAAACTTGCCTGGATTACAGAGATGGCTGATCACATACACAGACACACACAAGTCAAGTCATGTCAAAGGGCTTTATTGTCATACCACCCATATGATGCAGGCAGCTCCGAGGTTATGAATGACATCCATTCCCTAAGTGTGCCTTTAGGGGTGTACTCGCACAAGGTGATCTGTACTGTGCCCAAGCACGTTTGACCCCCAAAGTCCCGTTCGTTTGACTAGTGTGACTGCTAAACTGTGCTCTGTCCTAGAACATTAAGTGCAATGTGGGCACAGCCCAGCAGGTGGGAGGGGGGCAATCGTGCTCAGGCACGATACAGGGCAACCAGGCCAAATGAAAGAAGTCAGAGAAATAACAATACAAGGCATAATAATGATAATTATTATTCAGTAATAATAAAAGTAGCTACATAGAGTATTGTACTATACCTTTAGCAAAAGTACTGCTGAAGCCGTGCAATGTTTTCACGAGTGTCACAATGTAGTTATGACGAACCATTCTGTTTAACTTGAATTTTTAATATAATAGATTTTATGGCAGTCCGTTCGTAAGCACGTTCTTAACCCAGGGAGTGCTAAAAGTGCAAAACACAGGAGAGTGTGAAACATGGGACTTGGGGATTAATAAGGTATCAATTATTATTATTATTATTATTATTATTATTATTATTATTATTATATAACACAAGGGTTTATTTACATAGTGCAATGTGAATGTAAACAATAATTAATACAGCAGCAGCATAATGGATTGGGAAAACACTTACATTTCCCTTTTAAGGAGCACCCATAAATTTCCCAATATAGTCATGTGAACTCATGCCGTAAAGCGGACCAGTCCAAACCTTCGTGTAGCCCTGCGTCAGCCCGCCGCCTATGATATCAGGACATCGCTGTTCACACAGACTTCACAAACTCACTCGCGTGATCCACCAGCAAGCCATCCACGCTTACCAAAGCATTCAGGCGCACGTTTGGACGCCTTCCTCTCACGAGCCCACGTCACCTGTAGGCCCCGCCCCCCCTGCCCCCCGCCCGCTGTGTGAGATTACGCCACGGCTCCAGTTGAGGGATGGTGCCGTCTGTCGGTACACGCAGCGGCGTGCAAATCTCAGCTGTGAAAATCCTGGCTGACTTTAGGCTTTGTTGACACACAAAACATTTTAAGTCCCCTGAGAACTTCCAGTCCCGCTTGCCAGATGGCACCAGACACACCTAAACCACAGCCTGAACCCGAATGCGTTTATTACGTGCAATACTGTCACTGCCTGGCTTCCATCTGACATGGCCTTCTCTGCCCTGGGGGTGCGTTATTTGGCACAGCACAGCTTAGCACAGCACAGCTTAGCAAGACACAGCAATGCACAGCACAGCAATGCACAGCATAGCACAGCACAGCTTAGCATAGCACATTACTGCACAGCATAGCACAGCACCGCACCACACAGCACAGCACAACAAAAGACTAATCATTATAATAACTGGGGGGAGTTATGGGGGGGGGGGATAATCCAGCTTTCACAAAATCTCTCTGATCGAATAACAGTTGTCACATGACAAGAAGCACAGTTTTCAGGTGCAGGCAGATTATGAAGATAAAGCGTTCTGCCAACAACTCCTAGTCAACAGCACTGGGCCAAATAGAGCCGACAATATCTCCCTATAAACAGCTGTGTCTTGGCTATTACACGTCTCAGTGTATCAGTGAACATCGATGAGGTCCATCAGAGGACAGAGTGGTCGCCACGCACGGCTAACAATGGACACGCCAACATCTCATGCTCCTTCACATACGTGCCCGTGCCTGGGAATCACCATGCAAACCAGTGAATACGTGCTGCTGGCCCGATTTGTACGCAGTAGCCATTCTGGACATCAGCCGCACATTCAGTCTTAGGGCTTCCTGTCACTAAAACAACCTTCACAGGTTTGAGCCTGAATAGCTATAGTAGTCTGTGTGCTTTACGGGGATGAGTAATGTGCATCCTGATAGGAGAGATTAAGCTTGCTGACAGCGTCTGTCACTGCTGAATCTGCTTTACCAGTAGTTACGTAATCTGGAAAATATGTGTTTGTGCAGTTTAATAATAGGGCTATTCACAGTCTGAGATTCTGCTCATGCAGCCTAAATATAGGGTACTCTGAAACAGCAGGAAGCAGAGCGCAGAATCATTGGTCACTAAGTATTTTAAGACTATGTAGTGAACTTCAGTTGGAGGATCCTAGTACGCGATACATTCTAAAAAGGAAAATACAAGCAAGGACTTGCACTGTAAACTGTAAACAACATTTGTTAAAAGTAACAAATTACAGCATTTACAATTGCTGCTCTTAATGGAAAACCATAAAGGAAAACCAACCAAAGTGAAAATAAACGTTGAAATAATAAGCAGTCCTGATATCGCTTCATGGGTGTCAGTGTAGCTGCAGCCAGCGGTGTCTTATTGACT